GCTCTCTCTCTCTCTCTCTCTCTCTCTCTCTCTCTCTCTCTTGTTGTTCATGGATGATTAAATAATGCTCCATATTTTTTTTTACCAAAAACAACAAAAAAAAAGTTTCGCCCAATACATATACGTAAACAAAACAAAACAAACGCAAACTTTATGCATTGATGATTTTGTCTGAAACAAAAAAAGATTTTCTTCATTAAATCATCCTATATAGGGGATTCAGGTGTAGACTAATTTTGTTTTGTTGTTTTTATTTACCTACTTTGACATTGTTTATCGTCGATTATTCAATATTCAGGTCAAATCTAGAAGAACAACAGTTGTTTGGGTCTCAAAATCTTTTTCATTTTTTTCAAAAATTTTATCATTTCGTTTGTTCTACGTCAAACATCCATATTTTCTTTTCTTCTTTTGTGTTTTTTTTGGTTGGTTTTTACCAAGAAAAATATTATTGAATCGAAGGTCAAAAAGGATATTTTTCAATAATTTACAGTTTCTGGTTGATTTATTAAGTTTCTTTTCTTTTCTTTTTCGTTGATGAGGATGATTATATGTTTTTTTTCCCGATTCACCTGTCATGATGATGATGATAGCGTATATTATTTTGCTTACACGTCTTAAAATGACAGAAGAAAACAGAAAAATTCATCCTCCTGTCACCGATCAATCAATCAATCAATCAATAGATCATTAAGAAAATTACTAGATTCTGTTTCCATTCGTTGTATCGTTTTGTTTTGTTTTCTATTATCAAAAAAATCGATTCTTATCATCAAATGTTACTAGTGAAACGTTTGTTTAGTGATCAATTTCCGATCGTTAAACATACACACACGCACTTGAAAACACCAGAACCAACATTGTTTTGACCTTGAAAATTGGAACTTTTTTTTGTAGGCAAACATTAGATAAAGGCAAGCAAGCAACAAGAATTGAGATTTCCAACAACAACAACAACAAAAATCTGGTTCAACAAATCCTATGAACTGGTTTTAAACAAAAAAAAAATAAAATAAAAATAAAAAAAAATAACGATTATTATGATGAAATAACCATAAAACGAGAGAGAGAATGAGAGAAAAACCAACAACAAATATTCTTCATGGAAATATACGGGTTCTATCTATTTGCCTATCTGTCTATCTAGCTAGCTAGCTATCTAATCATACTAGAGAATCAAGTCAAGAATATTCTTTCCCAGACATTCAACAAACCAAAAAAACGATAAAAACAATGATAATTTCAAGTACAATGTTTTGACAAGAGAGCGAGAGAGAGAGAGAGAAGGTCATTATCATGATAATAAATAATGAAAAAAAACAATGATTATTTTTTGTTTCAAATATCTCTTCTTTTTATCTCTGTCTGTTTCTATCCATATTCTATATGTCCATAATTCAAAAATGGTTCATATCATATCATTCATTTATTATCATCATCATGAAAACCAAATGAAATGAATGATTAAACTATAACATTTTCAGTTTGACTATACCTTAGTGTACTGGAAAAGAAGAAGAAACAGAATAATAAATGAATGGAAAAAAAATGATGATGATAATCTTTATATAAACAAACATATAGGGCAAATATAAACAATGGAAAACCAAACAACAACAACAAATGAAAGAGAATTGAATAGAGAATTTGATACATGTACCCGAACAACAACAACAACAACAGCAAAATGTTGAGAAATAATGATAAAAATGTATACGTTTTTACAACTACAACAACAACAAGTAGAAAATTTGACATTAGAAAACGACAAGAATCAATATGATAATAAATTATTCTTACGTAAAAAAAGAATGGAACGTGAATAGAAAAGAAAAGATAAAAGTTACTACATTTTCAATACAAAGATTATGAAGAAACAAAAAAATGATAAATAATGTTTATTTATGGTAAAAAGTGTTTGTGTGTGTGTAGGAGGTGGTGAATGAATGATAATAAAATTCTATAATAAGAATTGAAATTTAAACATTTTTGTTTTGTTTTTTTGTTGATTGCCAAGTTCGAGGACAATTTACATTCATCTTTTTATCTTTGTATCTCTCTCTGTCTGTCTGTGTGTGTATATTGTTGCTGTTTCTTAATATCTTCTTTTTTTTGTTTTTTTGGTAGATCAAATTGTAGCAGTAGTAGTAGTTTTAGATCGAATATATTCAATTGAATTAATCATGAATGATTAATATATGACACCGACCGAATGACAGCAAACAAACGCACAGAGAGAGAGAGAGAGAGAGAGAGAGAGAGAGAGATGGACGTAATATTATGAAACGTATAGAATTTGTAATTTTCGCTTCCCCCATTCAACCAAAATGAATCGAATTGAATTGAATATAACCTATACCTACATTTTCTTTCTTTCTTTTTTTTTCAGAATTCTTGATTCTACAGAATCGCAAAAACGAAAAGCATTAAGCCAAAAAAATCAACAAAAATGAAACATTAAAACAGCCAGGTGACAATTCAACAAATATCAATCATTTATCATTTACTCGTCATTCGGATCATCAATAATGTTTTGTTTTCGGATCTGTTCTGTCTGTTTCTGTTTCACGTAATACTAACTAATTAATATCCGGTTCAATCAACGAAAAAAACTTTGTAATTTAATTAATTTGATTGTAAAATAATTATAATTATAAAATCATTATAATTAATTTTGATTCAATTAATAAATGATAATGATTACAATGATGATGATTACAATGTTAATTATAGAAAAAAAAAGATGAATGAAATTAATAATAATAATCATAATAATAATAATGTTGATGGACAATTATTATCACCATTTTTATCATGTTCAACTTCGACATCGACATCTTCATCTTCATCCACATCATCATCAACGACAAAGTTAGATTCAACAAAAATATCATTGAATAGCTGTTCTGATCAACAACAAAATGAAAATTCTATCGAAGCAAATCATTTATCAATATTGAATGAAAAACAAATTCAATTCAGTGATGATGATGAAAATGACGACAACGATGATGATGAAAAAGGTAAAAAACAAATCAAAGATTTAACCGAGAAAAGTTTTTTCCAATCCTTTTTCTTTCTGTTTTTTCTCGCCCAGTAGATAATCATAATCATAATCATCAATATAATGATGATAGTCAATTATATGATGATTATTATGGTGATAATGATGATGATGATAATGATGATGGTAAAAATTGTGATAATCAACATGAAGATCAATTATCATCATCATTGGAAACGACACAAAATCATAATCATCATTGTTGGTCAAAACAACGTTTACAATGGAGTTTACGAACATTACGTTCAGAATTTAAAATAAAAAATACTGAACTTTATTTTCGTCGTTATCAAACCCGTTTATGTCATCGTTGGTTTACAATTGTACTTATATTGAATATAATTGTTTCATTTACTGATTTATTATTTACTTTTCATCAAAGATTTTATGTAAGTTTACATTTTTGCTTTTGTTTTTGGGAATTTTCTTGATTGGGAAAATGTTTTCTGTTTATCAAAAAAATGAACCAAAAAAAAACCATATTTAGAAAGAAATTAGTGTTTAAAAGAGGTTTTGTCTGGTTTTGTTTTGTTTTGTCTGTTTCATTTTTCGACATTTTCTGGTAATATTTTTGAATTTTTCGATGTTTTGTTTTGTTTTTTGTTTAGGATTTTTGAATGTTTTTTTTCCTTGATTACGTAATGTTTCGAAGGTCATTTTTTTTTGCTTTTGGTCAGATAATTAATCGGAAATTAATCTTATTACCGATTGAAAATTCAAAACAAGTAATTTCTCTCGCTCACTATCCTCGACTTTGTTCTTGATGATGGTCAATCAAGGATTGGTCAACTTGAAACACACACACACACACCTTACACAAACAAAACAATCGAATCTTTGGTTTAACGTTTTTTTGTTTTGTTTTTTTAAATTTTTAAAATTTTTTTGAATTTTTTTTCACTGTTTATCTTGATCAGAAATACGGAAATTTTCCGGAATTTTTTCGTTTTTTCTCGGAAATCATTTCACATTTGAATAACAATGGTCCAGTTGATTGTTTTCAATGGATGGTGTTAATTGTTGTAAGATGAAGAAGAGGGGCGAAGATATAAAGTAAACAACGGAAATTTTTTTTATCGACCATCAAGGAAGAAAGACATTCCGAAAGACATTTTCTTTTTTGTTCTTTTTTGCAAGGCAATCATTGAAGACATTGACCGCAAATGGACCTAATCGATTAGTTACAAGGATGTTAACATCGATACGATCGATTGTTTTGAAGAAGTGAAGAAAAAAAACAACAAAAATTTCTTCATCCTTGATGTTAAACTAAGCTTCAATGATGAAAGTTAAAGAAGAAGAAGAAAAATACAGTAACCAAAAACAACCAAAAAAACCTTGAGCTAACCCTTTGCATTCCCTACCTATCATACGATGATGAAGGCCGGTAGTTCAATGTGAATAAGAATTTTTGGAAAAACCAAAAATTTGATCAAAAATTTGATAATTAATTTTGTTTGTGTTTGCTTGTTTTGTTAGTTGAATTCATTATCAAATTGAAAAATATTTGATGATTTCTACATATTTGAATGATTATGACCATCATTTTGAAAAAAAAAAAAAAAAAAAAAAAATAGCAGCCAACAAAATCAATTTGTCATTGAAGATTATATAATAACTGTTTGAAGACAAAAAAAATAATGATTAAAGCCTTGAACGAAATGAAATTTTTTTTTGGATGCTTTTGGAAAAAGAGAAAGAAAAAAAAGTAGATATAATTAGCGGTGAAAAAAGAGAGAAAATTCAGGGAGAGAGAGAAATTGAATTGAAAATGGAAAATGGAAATTTTTCTTCTTCTTCTTCTTCTGTTTGCCAAACGATCTACATTGGAAAGAAAACATTGTTAATTTTGAGGAGAGAGAGAGAGAGAGAGAGAGAGAGAGTCTTAAGAAGATTGAAGATTTATATGAATGTTGGGGGTGGAAAATAAGAAAGAAAGACAAAAAAAAAGAAGTAACATTACCTGTTTGCAGGTAAATCATTTTCTCTCCAATTATTTTTTTTTTCTATTGAAAATATTAAAAGAGACATATGATGCACTATGAATGAATTGAGAGAAAGCAAATGAAAAAAATAAAAATTTTATCCAAAATCATTTGCAATGGAAGAAGTTGGAAGAGAGAGAGAAAAAAAAGAGTTTCAAATAAAAAAATTGTATTTTTTTTTCTCATTAAATCTATTGGGTTTGTTGAATGTAAAATGTTCTGGTTTTTGGTTTGGTGATTTGGTGAAAAATTTTTGTTTTGTTTGTTTTTTATTCAACAAAATCCAATTTCAAAATATCATCACCATCATCAAACAACAAAAGATGAGAGAATCCCCAAAAGCTAATCGAAATTTTTCAATCTTTGAAATTAAAAATCTCAAACAATTTTTTTTTCTCGAATATTCTAATCAAAACAAAAACAAACAAACAAACATCAGACAAACATTCATTCAATCGAGAAAAACTCATCATTTTTTTCGTTGTGTTCCATCACTATTTTGTAATTCTAATATTTCAAAAATAACTGTGTGTTGTACTCTGTACGTAAAAAAAACATCCATTACCTGTGTGTCTGTGTTAATAATCGTAAATTTTTTTTTGTTTTTTTGTGGAAAAAAATGTGACATTTGAAACTTTTCAAACAACAACAACAAAATTTGACACTCGTGACGACAATGATGTGTTTTTTTTCACTACAAACAAAATGATTTTTTTTGGTAATGTTTTTGATGTGTGTGTGTTGATGAATGAATTTCTTTTTTGGTTAATAAAAAGGTGAGCCATACATTTTCTTCAGGTGAAAAATTCCAAGGAATATTCTTGCTTATTTATGGAAATATTTCTCCATATCAACCCGATATTTGACATTTTTCAAATTGAATAATGAAATTTTTTCATGAAATTTAAATGAGAAAAATTCTTATTGAAACATGACGACGTTAGTGTTAATTATTTGTCATTTAAGAAAAAAGTATAAATGTTTATTTCAAATGAAACGACAACAACAACAACAAAACCAACATTGAATCCTGTTATCCTTGCCGAATGATATAGTGATATATAGTGAAGGGGGAAAAAGACAGACAGACACATAGAGAGAGATGCATTATTTCCAATGTTGTTTCGAAATTTTTTTGCTTGAAAAGTTTATTCATTCATTCATTCAGAAAATAAAAAATCATTCATTTTTTTTCAAAATTCAAAGGTAGCTAAAATTAAGATTGCCAAATGAGACTACTGTGTGTGTGTGTGTATATAGTGTGATTAAAAGAAGTAAAAAAAAAGTTTGTTTTTTTCCCCATTCCATACTATTTATAGATTTGTTTTTTTTTTGAATGTGCTTTTTTAAATAAACTTTATCCCAAAATGAAGATAGTAAAAAGGTAAATAACATTATGATCAGTCGAGATGAATGAATTTTCTGAAAAGGATTTTTTTTTTGTGGAAAAATATCACCGTGACCATTATGATTTGAATTTTCTATCTATTGAAATGTTTGGAAATGGGAAAAAAAAAGTTTTCATCCAAAAACTTTTTTTTTGATTTATCAGATTTTCAAGGAATTTTTCAAAGGTTTTTTTTCTACTGTTTGTTTCCATTGTATATATTCAATAAATCCTTCCGATCCAGATTCAATGATATTTCTTTCTGTTTCAGAACAACAACAACAAAAACAAGAATGAATTACATGGTGGGAGTCTAAATGATTGTCATCGATGATCAATAGAGTTGTTCGACCTTCAACTTTTTTTTTTGTTCATTTCTGTCCATCAGAAAATCGAATGATGATTTGTACATTGTCTCTGTCCCTCAGTGTATATATTTTTCGTTAATTTTATTGATTGGAATTCAGAACAAAACAAACAAACAAATTATCCATTTTTTTAAAACAGAAACAGGGAAAACAAACTGATAATATTTCCTGACAAAAAGAAAAAAGTTTTAAAATTATCAAAATTCAAAAACAAAACAAATTTTTTAAAATGAATTTTTTTTTTAACTTTATCGATAAATCTAGAATAATATTGATCTATTTGTTTTTCTTTTTCTTTTTTTTTTCTCTCTCTCTCTCTCTCGCTCTCTTCGCTTTACTGTATGATTTCGACATCATTGCTGAATATATTTTACATTCGTGACAATCAGGAAAATGATGATAATCATGATGATTCCTATCCATTACAGGCAATCATTCGTTTAATAACATTAATTATTTATATTTTATTTCTTTTGGCCACTACATATAATGATGAACGATGGTTAAACAATTCAACATTTATACAATCATTTGTTGCATTTATATTATTTATAACAATGTTTTTAGCTGAATATGGTACATTTTTTTGGTATTTTATTTCAACATCATCATCGACATCAAAATCGACATCGACATCTACATTAAACAAATTATCAACAACAAATTTATCAAAAACATTTTCAAATCAAAATGATCATAATGATGATCAAATGAATACAATGAATACAATACGTTTATTATCCAGTTGGAAAACAACACGGCCAATATTTTTTCTAATATTTTGTAATGAAATTTTATTACCATTTCCAAAACGTCTTTATTCAATTACTTGTTCAACATTGGTTATTTTATTAGAAATTATGATTACAATATCTTGGTGGCCATTATATTATACGTTGGTTAAAGCTGAAGAAACAAATTCAACAACAATGTCAACAACATTATCATCGATTTCATCATCATCATCATCGACATTATTGATAACATCTGATGCAATATTATCTACAATGGTCAATCATACATTGAATCAAATGTTTCAACCATTATCATCATCATCATCATCATCATCGGTTTTAATGAATTTATCATCAACAACATCGGATCCATTAATACCATTATCAATACAAACAGCAACAACAAATACATCATGGCAATATTTTTATCAATGGAGCCAGGCAATTCGTTATCGTGGATTTTATCTATTATCCGATATATTATTCTATTTATTAGCCGGTTTAGTTGCATTTTATGTAACATATTTACTTGAAATTGTAAATCGTCGTGCATTTTTAGATCATCGTAAATGTGTTGAATCAAAATATAAATTAACATTTGAAAGAGATGAACAGGAAAGATTATTAGCATCATGTTTACCAAAACATTTAATGAAAAAAGTACGTAATGATATACGATCAAGATTTACTGGTAATTGGTCATCATCAATATCATCGAATCGTTCGATGATTAATAATAATAATACTGTTATCAATGTTGATGGTAATAATAATAATGATAATGATGAACATCGAAATCAAATACATTCAACAAAATCCAATATTGATCATCCACATCATCATCATCATCATCATAAAAGTGGTTCAAATGGTTCAATTGGAAGACCATTTAGTGAAATGTATATTGATAAATATTCAAATGTTACCATTTTATATGCTGATATTGTTAATTCAATGGCATTAACACAAACATTACAATCACCTAAAGCATTAGTTGAAGCATTGAATAATTTATTCTGTAGATTTGATTGTCGTGCTGAGGTATGTTTGTTTTTGACTTTGATTTTTTTACTTTGACTTTGATTTTTGATTTCCTATTTTCTTGTTTTTGTCACTTTTTTCGAATTGAAACAAAATTTTAGAATCATGATTGTTTACGAATAAAATTATTGGGTGATTGTTATTATTGCATTAGTGGTATACCGGATGATGAAGATAAACGTCATGCAGCCAATTGTTTACGGATGGGTCTTGATATGCTCGATATTATCAAGTATGATGATGATATACAAATCTATTTACAATTCTAAATAATTAACATTTTGTTTAACCCCATACCATCCAACAAAACAAAAATCAATTATCGTCATCATCATCATTTTTAGGGAATATCGTCATGAAACAGGAATCAATGTTGATATGCGTATCGGTATACATACCGGTATGATATTATCCGGTTTATTAGGTTTGAAAAAATGGCAATTTGATATATGGTCAATCGATACAATGAAAGCATCACAAATGGAACAAGAAGGCCGGCCCGGTTTTGTACATATTACAATGGCTAGTTTACAACAAATACCGGCCGATATATTGAATAATTTATTAATAATTGAAAATCATGTACTGAAAAATGAAACAACCTATCTGATACAACGAAAAATTGTTCATAAATCAAATATTGAAAACAATAATAATATGACTAAAAAAATTGAATCATCAAATTATTTAATAGCCAAAGATCAACGATCTGATTGTACAACAAATTCATCATTATTATCATCATCATCTGTATCATCAACGACATCATCATCGATTGATCCACAATTACCTCATCATCATCATCATGATCATCATAATTATCAAATTGATAATGATTGTCAACCATGTCGTCCTATTCGACAAGTATCAATAGTTGAAGAAGATGTTTTTACTACAAATACAACAACAACAACAACAACAAATTCTTATCAACAATCAACATATCGACATAGGGTAATGTTATTTTTTTCTTCTTCTTCTTCTTATTAATCAAACAAAGCTTATTTTCATTTATTTCTATATTCACAGAATTGGTCAAGACAAGATTCATCACGACGAAGACCAATGTCTGAAGTGATCAACTCGTAAGTTATTATTTTTTTTAGTTTTTGTTTTTGTGCGAAGAATTCATCTGTTGTTTGTTTGTTTTTACCAATGATTTAGATTACGAAATTATGGTGAAATGATTCGTTGTTCGAATGATTCATTATCACAAACAATTGATAAAATGTCATTCAATCTAAAACGACAATATGATATTAAGAATTCATTTTTGGAAATTAATCCAATATTTTTATATTTTATTCATTCACAATCACAACAACAACAACAACAAAATCATCATCATCCTGATCAACGACGACAATCATCAATATCAACAACATCATCATCATCAACAGCAACAACAAGTTGTTTATATGATGGTGAATGTAGTGATAAATCATCATCATCAAAATCAATATGGAATCATTTGAAACGTATACATCGAATCGATCTCAAACGTGAATTAAAATATCTACAACAAGATGATCATCTATTTCCATATTATCTGATTGCATCATTAATCATAACCATAATGATAATTGTGATACGTTTTTTAACACTTTATGATTATGATTATTATTCAAATAATAATAATGATGATCATTGGCAAAGATTTTTCTTTACCGAACGTGGTAATTGGTTTTGTTATATGGCCATAATAGTTGCCATTGTTTCATTGATCTATACATTGACCAAACATAATCATCATCATAATCATCATAATCATAATAATCAACAAAAACAAAAACGACAAAATCAAATGATTTGTATTGAATTTCGTATGTTAATTTGGTTATTAATATCAACATTATTAATAACAAGTACAATAATGGATATGTCACATTGTTCAATGGCACAAATGCAAGAAATAAAAATTCATCAACATAATGATAATCGTACAATAAATACTATTGGTAAAGAATGTCTTTATAAATGGGTATGTTTTTTTTTCTTTTTTGAATGCTATTATCGATTGATTGATCTAATTTTGTTGTTGTTGTTTTTTTTGGTTCATTAACAGTCACGTTATTATACATATTCATCAATATTGGCAATGTCATCCATATCATTATTTATACGTGTAAATCTTTGGTTTAAATTTGCATTAAGTACGGTTGCATTATCAACAATATCATTGATTATACATTTACATCCATGTTCAATATTTTTACGTATTGATCGTTTTTATCAATTACCTCGTAATGAACATTATGATCAACAACAGCAAACATTATTTGAAAAAAATCAACAACAATTTTTTGGTGATCTATTAACACCAACAATGTCACATCTACATTATCTATTTATTGTTTATCTAATGTTTCATGTACTTGATCGTCAAATTGAATATATTTCTCGGTTAGATTTTTTATGGGCACATAAATTAAAACGTGAACGTCGTGAAGCACGTTTAATGCGTGAAGTAAATCAATTATTATTGAAAAATATTTTACCAATTCATGTTGCACAAAAATTTTTAACAAATCCTGAACAAGCAAATTCATTATATTATGAACCATATGATTCATGTGCGGTTATGTTTGCTGCAATACCGAATTTTTTTCGTTTCTATACTGAAACCAAAGATAATGATGATGGTTTACAATATTTATATATTCTTAATGATATTATCTGTGAATTTGATAAGGTTTGTTTTGATTTAATTTGATTCTTAATTTGATTCATTTTGATTTGTTAATTTCTTATCGTTACTATCATTATTATTTTAGCTATTAATATTACCTCAATTTAAACGTCGAATCGAAAAAATTAAAACAATCGGATCGACTTATATGGCAGCTGCTGGTCTTCAACCAGGTCGAGCATCAATTGATGTATGTTTTTTGTTTGTTTGTTTTTTTTTGAAAATCTAATATGAAAATTATAAATTTTATTTTTGAATATAGAGTTCGATTACAACAAAACAAGAAGTAACCAATCTTGTTATAATGATACGTTTTGCCTTATCAATGATGCGTGTTTTAAATCGTTTAAATTCAATACCACGTGATGAACAAACTGTTAATCAATGTTTAACAGCTGATCAACATTTTCAATTACGTATCGGTATTTCAATGGGGCCGGTTATTGCCGGTGTTGTTGGTGCTATTAAACCACAATATGATATATGGGGTGATACGGTTAATGTTGCAAGTCGTATGGATACATATGGTGTTGTAAATAAAATTCAAATACCGGATTATGTTGCCAAAGTACTAATTGATCATCAATTATTTCGACCATATTCACGTGGTATACAAGAAGTAAAAGGAAAAGGAAAACTTGAAACATTTCTTATTGATTATAATGAACATGATTGTATGGAATAACAATTGCAAAATGCAATCATCCGGTGACTTTTTACATTGTACATATTGACAATCAACAAACAAACAAACGAAAAAACATTGATCAAAACACAAAATGTGATATTTATTTATTTATTTAAATGATGAAAACGAAACAAACAAAACAAAAAAGATTTTCTTCAGAAATCTCATTATCATTATTATTGACATTTTAATGAAAAAGTTTAATCCTCTGTTCTGTTTTTTTTCCTGATATAATCTTTGATGTGATTCTTGTTTGTTTGTTTTTGTTCATGGTTGACCAACAAAACAACAAATTATTATTTTCAATAAAGTGCCATACATAGTATGAACAAAACGAAACGAAATTATATTAGAAAATGAATTGAAACAAAATATTTTTTTGACAAATTTGTAAAAAATAAATGAATTTTTCCTCATTTTTGGCTTCTTTGAGTTAATTATTATTCTTATTCAAATTCTGTTTTGATATTTTCAAGCAATTCAAGATCAATGGTCATTGGTTGATTATCAACATTTTTATCATTAACATTATTATCGACAATACAACCATTATCACCGGCAGCCGCATCATCTGAAGCAGCTACATTATCAACAGATTCATTTGCAGTGATATTTAAACTTTGATCAGCGATATCCATTATTGATGGTGTACAAACAACATTGGTTGTTGTTGTTGTCGTCGATGTATCTAATTCGCTATCAATATCAACAGCTGGTGGTTTTGGTGGTATTAAACGGCCACGTTTTTTACCACCATTCGGTAATACACCATTTTCAATTTCTAAAAACAAAATTGAAATTTCAAATGAAAATCGAATGTTAGTATTAAACATTTAACATCATACCATTTTTCAACATAATATATCTATGTTCAACCCAATCGGGTGCTATTTTATAACGACGAAAATGCATATATTTATCCAATATTCGTTTTTTAATCGTTTCCTATTTTTTGTTCAGTAAACAATCAGAATAATCAAATAAATATTTATGAAAGAAATCATACCGTTTTAGTTGGTGATCCATCATCCCACATTGGATACATTTGTATTAATCGATCACAAACTGTATGTAAAAATCTAGTTGGTAAACGCCATATAAAATAATGTTGTAAATCTTGAAATAAAGTCATACTAAGTAATTCTTTCATTTGATCAAATTCTTTTTGTGGTATTGGTTCAATAGTGGCTATTACTTTGGCCATAAATTCATGTAAAATTTGTGGTAAATTTGGTTGATAATTAGCAGCATCAAAAAAACGAATCTGTCCATATTGATGCCAATCATCAAGAAATCGTTGTTTTTTCGGTTCAACTGGTTCGGGTACAAAAATTTTAATAAATTCTTCATGACCACCATTTGGTTTTGGTATAAGTTTTTCTTCATAATAAATTCCTTCAATGTTTGCATTCAATATTGAAGCTTGCATTACTGTTGTTTGTGGAAATTTATGTTCGGATTTTTGAGTAGAATCATTCGCTTGTTCAGGTGTTGACAATCCATTACATTGACTAGGACTTTTAGATTTTTTTGCACATTTTCTTTTAGGTCGTTTGTTTGGAGTTTCTACTTGAGTAGTATCGAATGATGATGATGATAATGATGTATTTACATTTGATGTATTTAAAGTTGACGTATTTAGGATCGATGTATTTACATTTGGCAAATCATTGTTATTGGAATCAAATTTATCCTTTAAACGTTTTAATATTATCTATAGCAATAAATACAATGATTACTATCGGATGACAATCAATCAATCAATCAAAACAAAACAAACCTTAACATGAAGACGATTTGTTCGTAATGAATTTAAAATTTCATCATCATTATCATCATTGATTATATCGTTAAAATTAATGTATAAAAATTTCAATGATGAAACGCCGACATCTGTATAACAAGAATAATAGAAAACAATAGTAAATTGATATTTACAAAAAAACTAAAACCGAAACCAAAATACTTACTTTTCAATGGCTCGATCCATGAATCAAGACCGATTGAATCGAAAAATTTATGAAATTCTTCATCATCATTTGATTTCATCATTGTTTTTTGCTTGATGAATTTGTTGTTTCGAATTGATGTTTCGAAATAAATTATCAATTTCTTTGTTTTTTGGAAATTTCTATTTCATCAACAACAACAATAGGTTAGGTTAGACAATAATGAGTCATCAATTAGTCAGTATAGAACAGGGAATACAACAAAAAAAAAGAACATACACAAAACAAAGAAACGAGTTTATTTGGTTAGGTTGGACAAAATTTTGTTTCCTGTTTTTTTTAGACGAGCTGAACACCACCACAATCGTTCAAGTAGCAGTATACATATTTGTGAATAATATTCGTATGTCGAATGCAATCATACCTATGCATAGTTGATCCAACGCCGCTACTACATGTATATCAAACAACATACAACTTATTCTAACCTGACTTGCGTGTGCTTATCGTGAATACATTGTGTTCGAATTCAAACGCGCTTAACTAACCATGTTATCACCTTACCTAAAAAGGTTAAAAAGGTAGATTATCAACATGTTGATAATGTTATCATCATGTAAACCTTATCATCTTGATCGATGGTCAATGTTTTTTGACCATATAAATATTCGATGAATTTCGACTGATTTTGGCATATCGAATTTGGCAACTTTCAATCATACCATCATATTTCAAACGAACATTTGGAAAATTCTTGGAAATTCGACCATAACAATGAAATCTATCGCTATTTCAGCTATTATTTTCATCATCATGTTCGTCATGATTGTTGAATCCCGACCAAGCAATCGATTACCGAAGCCATCGACCACCACAACCACTCAACAACCACCGGAATCGGAAAATGAAATCGATCAACCTGGCTCATGTCGAAAAATTCGATTACCATTTCGACAAAATGTTCAGGCTTGTAGTGAAATGGTGGCCGAAAAATTTCCATATGGATGTTTTATGATGAAATTTTCATTCGGTCTTAATACTGTTGTTTGTTTTACACCGAATAACGAAGAACAAATGAATGATGATAAAGAACAAAGCTATTGTCATCGTATCGATTGGCCATTATATAATCTGGATGGTACACTTTGTCTTTCATATAAATGGGCAATTCCAGCGCTTTTCTAATTTTCTTTATTAATAATTTTTTTGTCTAACATTTTCATTTATATTTACAAACATTTTTTGGCTAAAACAGAAAACAATTATTTTGTACAATTTTCTAAATAATCTTGATTAAAATGATAATGACCATCAAAATCGATTGTAGCTTTTTCTCCATCTTCAGCCAAACGATTAGCAATCCAAAATAGATCGGCATCTGTTTTTTTCAAATCTTTCCTGTCCTGATATACAAATGGTATAAGAAATTCTTCAAGACTTTGATCATCTTGATCATGATGATGACGTCTTGCTTTATAACGATGCATCCATTCACGCATCAATGGTGGTAATTGATAATATTTAGGTAATATATTTTTATTATCACCTAAATTTGTTATCGAATAATTACCGATAAATTCTTTTTCTTCATCTTTCGGTATTAAACGAAAATCCGGTCGATAGGTTATTGTCAAAGGTCGAATATCGGGTAAACGTTTACCACGTATTACGGTTTCACACCAAATTGTACCATATTTTAATTCAGGGTCCATATATGTTTGTACACGTTTAACAATATGATATGATGGTTCAGGAAATTTATCAAATTCATGACGAGTTAACATACGACCGATACCGAAATTCTTTAGATTAGCCAATATTTGAAATACAGTACGACCTAAATGATCGGTTGGTTTACCAATATAAATTTTACGTCCCATTTTTCGATAACAACCAAAAACAACAGAAAATCGGATTCAAATTTTTTCTTCTTTTTTGTTTTTCAACGTTCCAAAATAAACATGTGGTCAAAGTTTTTTTACAACAGTGCTGCCATCTTTGTCTGTTTTTATCCTAAAAGACGGTTACTGTGTTTTTTGTTGTTATTATTTGTTGACATTGCTAAAATTGAGTTCGGTCAAAGTTTACGCGGAAAAAAAAATTTTTTTGTTTGATTAAATAATTTCTTATTTTCTAAATTGAAAATCATGTTGAAAACAAAACATTTAGATAATTTTTTATGGAGATTCTCAAATCTTTCATTGTCATTATCGTATAATCGATCTTTTTCGATTAGTTCGTCATTGTTTTTTCCCGCCGCTTCAAGTGGATCACAACAACAACAACAAACACCTTCATCATCATCAACAATAACAATTCCACCACCACCAAAACGTTCATCAAATGTATTTGCATTATTTGTTCGTGATTGTTTTAAACGATTTCCAACAGAAATGCCTGTTAAAGAAAGATTTGCACGTGCTGGACAAGAATGGCGACAAATGACACCTGAACAAAAAGAACATTATCAAAAAATGTCTACCGAAGAATTTGTTAAATATAAATCAGCTATGAATGAATATCTTGGCACATTGAATGATGAAGAATTGGCACAATTCAAGCGAATTAAAAAGGTAAAATAGTTTAATTTACCAAAATTTATTAATTTACTAATTTCTGAAACTTTTTATTCGCATATTAGGATCAAATTAAAACAAAAAATCGTCAACGTATTAAAAGTAAACTTCGTGAATTAAACTATCCAAAACGTTCTGTATCATCATACATATTCTATATTCGTGATCATCTTAAACAAGAATATCCGGATGGTAAATATCCACCTGTAAAATCACCGGAACATCTTGAAAAAGTAAGAAAATGGTCACAAAATTGGCATCAATTATCACCGGAAGAACGAAAACCATTCGATGAACAAGCTGAAGTTGATCGTAAACGTTATTTTGAAGAATTAGAACAATGGAAACATGAACTAGCTAAACCAGAAAATGAAGAAAAATTTCGACAATTAGAACGTTTATCGAAAAAAATGGAAGTAGCCAATATGTCGGAAGAACGTGCTGAATTACGTGCCAAACGTCAACGAAGACTTACGGCAAAAATTATCAAAAAAAGATTAATGAAAAAAGCTGCCAATCATTTGAAAGCTAAAAAGAAAGCTAAATCAGCAGCTGCTAAAAAGAAATCGGCTTCAAAAGCTAAAAAATCCACAACAACAACAACATCTAAATCATCATCGGCAAAGAAAACAACGAAAAAAGCTAGTGATAACAACAATGATCAATGATCATAATTGATTTCATTTATATTTCTTTGATCTTTTTTTTCCTTTTTTGATTTTCGTATTATACACATCAATGTTGTCGAAACTTTCTTTCTTTCTTTTTCTAATTACCTCGTAATTGATGAATAAAATATATTTTTTAAAAGAAAAACTTGAACTTGTCGAAATCTTTTTTGTTTTGCGAAATGTCATTTATGAACGGAAATTATTTTTGAACTTTATTTTTTTCATTCGAATCGAATGTTTTTATGGTCACAAATTTTTTTTCATTTCATTTTTTCTTCTAAAAACATTATGACCAGCAAACGAGAATTGGCCAAACGTTTGGATCGATTGGAAAATCGTATCGATAAATTATGTTCGGTAATTTATGATTTAATGAAAATTACCATTGATGATGATGATGATAATGATGATAATAATAATGATGTTGATAAAAATTTATTATCATTACAACAAATGTCTTCGAATCAGATTCGTAATCGTTTTGGTGAATGGTTATTTATCGATACAGATCGTTGGTTAATGTTGAATCGAATAATTGATAGACCACCATCATCATCGTTATCATCATCATCGATATCAAACAATCAAATGAATAGAGCAACAACTAGCCGTGGTTCTTGTGATTTGGATCAAGATCAAGGCTATAAAAGTTTAATAACAAAAATCGAATCAAAACAGCCTAATATCGAAAATGTAACTAATGATCAACAACAACAACAAGAACAACGACAAAAACATATTGTTTATCAAATAATAATTGAAGCAAATCATTCAATGATATTGGCCGGATTTATAAATTCATATATGATGTCATTATTTAAAAATCCATTATTTACAATCATACGAACAAGTCCAGAAAAAATGATTATATTTATTGAATGTCAAAAAACTGTTGAAAATTTTTTAAAACATTGTCATTATGATCTATCAAAAGGATGTTGGCAATTTGATTTAAACAATATAATGCCAATGAAAATTACCTTGGAACAATCCATTTATTATGATTGATATATATTCCATAAAACGAATGAAAAATTATTATTATTTCATACGATAATGTCAACCTTTTTTTCTTTCTCTCATTTATTGAAATATGGTTATTGTGATTATATTCATTCCCGGAAAAAGATATGCTCATATTTTTTGATTATGGTTTATATTGGCCAAACAAACATAGTTTATAACAAAGATCCTTATTATGTTGTTTTTTTTCTGATGATATTTACTACTACGTTTTCCCCTCTCATAATAATAATTTATAATGATTGTTCCCATCGTAATTATCATTAATTATCATCATCATCATACGATATGGTAATATGGATGGTTGCACGAGAAACAATCTTTATGTTATTGTTGTGTGTTTACCTTTATTTCTCTATTTCTCTCTTGTTGTTGTTGTTGTTTTCCCATTTAAACATGTAAGAAATATGATTAAAATCAATGAAATTTTCTATATTTTTTATAAAAAAATATGCATCAAGCCAAAAATACTTGAAATTTTTTTTAAACCAAAAAAAATGAATCAAACGACAACCGAAAAAAAACCACTTGAAAAACCTTAGTGAAAAAACCCCCGAAATGATTCAATCAGATCAAAAAAAAAGTCAGAAAAAACAGCAACAATAAAAAATATTGCACAATAATTAATCTCTCATTTGCGTTGTAATTTTTCCTTGTTGTTTTTTTTTCAAAAGGGAAATCCAACTCACACTAATAGTATTCACATCATTCATTCATCCAACAACAACAACAACAACAGAAAAAAAGTAAAAAAATCAAAGTAACCAAGCAACAAAAAAAAAAAAAAAATCCATCAATGTTATTCTTTTCTTTTCTTTTCTTTAAAAAATAATGGATGCTGTAAATGAAATATCAATCGATTAATCGATTGAGATTTTGTTTATTGTCATCATCCTTATCGTTATTGATTTTTTTTTTTGTTCTTTATCCAGTTATTATCAATGTCCACATCTAAATTTAAAATTATCATTATTAAATGAGGGAAATTGTAAAAACCGTTCTTCTCGTTCTTCTTCTTCTTCTGATCCAAATTATAATTTGTCATCATTTTTGATTGATAATCTCTCATCATCAATGATGATGATTAGGATGATGATAATGGTGGTTGACATTCCAAAAAAAAAACAACAATAATCATCATTATCAAAATTGAATAGCAACCGTAAAATTATTAACACTAATCATCATCATCGGGTAATTTTTTTCTTTTAAAAAATTTTTTATTATGGATCCATTTGGATGATATTGTTATTTCTGGTAATTTGCAACAACAACAACAACAAAATCAGTGATTTCATCGTTTCATTTTTATAATAATTTTAGTTTGTGTTTGGGTTATAAATTTTTGTTTTGTTTTGTTTTGTTTTCCTTCTCTCCTTGTTTTGTTTGTCCGTTCATATTGTTTGTATCAAAAATTTGTTTTTTTATTTGATGAAATCAATGAAAACATCCACAACAACGACAACAACAACAGGAAAAACTTTTTTTAGTTTGTTTGTTTGTGTTTATCCAACTAACATTGAATATTGATTATTATAAAAAAAAGAAACAATTTTTACCTTTATTGAATTTTCAATTGATTAAATTGATCGATCAATCGATGATGATGATGAAGAATAAATTGTCAAAACAACCACAACAGCAACAGCAACAAAAATCATCATTTAATACTAAACCAATATTAAAACCATCATCATCATCATCAATGACAATCGTTAATAATAATGATGATAATAAAAAGAAGATGATGATTGACATATCTAAAAATATTGATGACAATAATATCATCAATGTTGATGATGATGATAATGGAAATATTCAACAACCTCGAAACAATGTTAAACGATCAAATCAACAACAACAACGAAATGAAATTCGAATAGCAACAACAACAGCAAAAACAAAATTACGTCCATTTTCAACAATAATGTTTGATTCATTACCGTTACCATCATCAACAACAGCGACAACAACATCGGAAATTATCAATGAAAATAAGCCTAAAATTACCTATATGGATGATAGTTTTTCCGATGATAATGATGATGATTACGATGATGATATCGATGATGATGATGATGATGAATTAATTAATTCATTGGGTTTAAATGCATTCGATATTAAACATATCGATAGTTTTAGTAAGTATCCCTGCCTACCTAAAACAGACCGAACATGAATAAGCCAAATTGAAAAATCAAAATTTTATTTAAAAAAACAAATTTTTTGACAATGGATAATCCATACACAGAAATTAAGGCCAAAACCACGACAACAACGAAAAACTCTTTCATTTCATTTTTTCCCCTCTAAATGAATGAATGGAGAGAGAAAATGGTTAAATGATATGATGTGACATTCAATCATGATGATGATGATGATGATGATATTTGCCTTGCACACACACACAGATTGGGCGCCATAAAGCTTCATTAGGATAATAACAATAATGGTGATGATAAAGCCAAAAAAATCTCGTTCAATGACATGTGTGTGTGTGTGTCATTTTTTCTATCTTTTTAATTCAATGAAATCATATTTTTTTTAAAAAAAAGCATGAATCAGACGAAAAAACAACAAAACAAAAAACAAACATTTTTAGGGATACACATTGTTTATTTCGAATCACATTTTAGGATTTTCTTTGAAGTTTTTTTTTTAAAAAAAATTTCTCTGTTGTTTAGGGAAAGTTTTCGGAAAATTTCAATTTGATAAATCATTTTGCTTCTTTATCGTCTTATCATATGAATATTCTTTTGAAAGTTTTGTTTTGTTTTTTGAATAAAAATCTCTTTTTTTTTTGCATTTTTCATTGCATAGAAAATAAAACAATTGAAAAATTGACTGTTATCGAAGATGATGATGATGATGATGAATATGATGCTGATAATGATGACGATGAAGATGATCAATTACCAATGATTATCGAACAACAACAAAATCTTTATGAACATCAAAACAACAATCAACAAATGATAATCACAAATATCAATAATGGTGGTGGTGGTGTGGATGGTGTTAATTCAATACAAACATCATCATCATCATCATCATTGACAACAAAAGATGTTTTTAAAGGAAAAAAACAAATTCAATCAATATTAAATCCAAATGCACGTGAATTTCTACAAGATTATCATCATCATCATCATCAGAAACATCAACGAAATCTTCGTAATTTACCAGCAAATTTAATGAAAAAATCATCAACAAGTAAAAAAATTGATATACATTTAACACCAAGACAACAACAAGTGATTGATGAAAAATTCAATACATTACGACAAAGAAAACATCGACAATTACCAACAATCGATGAAACAATCGATTGTTATCAATTCGAACAACAAAATAATAATAATAATCAATCAATTGATTTGAATAATAATGATGAACGAAAACATCGATTACAATCAAAATCAAAATCATCATCATTATCAAAATTTTCCAAATCAACACCGAATTTATTCGATGTAATCGATTCAGAATCATCAATGAAATCGGATAATAATAATCAGAATAAGAAAACATTTACACATCGTTTACAGGATCGTTTAAAACGTTTTTTCAATACCGGTTCACGATCATCATCAGTACAGAAACATAAAATTTCAAATGAAATTATTGGTAATAATGATAGTGATGGTCGTTCAGTTCGGATTAAATATTTTAAATATAATGCATCATATCGTAAAGCACAACGTGGTAAACATCGTCAACCACAACAGATTAAATATCGTTTATTAGAACCAATTTTATTAAGAAAAGATGAATTACCATCATCATCATCATCATCATCATCGACAGCAATGGAACAACAAGCATTATTAATATATGAAAATTTTGGTGTTCGATTTATAATCGATCAAAATCATCAATATTTAATTGTAAGTTTGAATATTTTTTTTCCATAAATTTTGAATGTTTGTGTCTCTGTGTATGCAGGTAATATGAGTGTCTATGATTGACAATAATTCGAAAATTTCATCATATTTTTTGAAAATTCAACACATAAAAAACAAGAGGGAATCAAGGTGAAAATCAGACTTTTGACGAATGATGATTATGATTATGAAATGAATGATGAATGAATGATGCATGTTGTGAATTTACATAATACATTTTTTAAAAAAATGGACATTTCTTTGACCAAAATGAATAAAATTGACAAAAAAAATTGCTTGCGTTTAATGTTCTTGGTGTGCGTGTGTTTCATTTGAATTTTTTTTTTTTTGTTGAAAAAATTCACAAATGGACTTTGTAATTAAGATGCTATCCAAATGTAGAACAGGTAAAATTTTGTTTAGTTTTTTTTGCTTTTTGTTTTAGACAAAGACTTTATGACAAGTGTAGACCTGATTTGATGAAATTTAAATTTAAATCTTTTTTTAATAGTGATGCTTGATGATGATGATGATGACTAATCAAAAGACTGATGACAGGATTATTATAAATAACGAGAATGAAATGAGATGAGCAAATGAATTGTATGATGTGATGATGATGACAATTTGATTCGGCTTTTAACAAATGAAACAAACAAATATGAACATGAGAAAAATGAAATAACTGAATTATGAATTAGATGAGATTATTTTCAGAAACAAAAATGACAAGAATGGGAAACAAACAAACAAAAAATGAATGAATGATTGATTGATTGATTCACAGAATAATGTTTAATATTGACGATTTGCAGATGATGATGATGGTTGATGATTATTATTATTGTTGCCATTGCCACTATGGCTATAATGATGATTATGATGATTATTATGGGATGATGATTGTTCTAATAATTTTCGATGATTTTGTTGTGGATAATTAGCATCATAATGATGATGATGATAATTACCATCATTTTGTTGTTGTTGTTGAAGATTATATTGATATGATTGTTGAGACGATGGTGGTAGAATTTCTTCCATTGATCCACCTCCAGTAACAATGGTGGATGGAATTTCTTCATATTGTGCTGGTATGAATTGCTGTGTTGATATTATTTCACCACTATTTCCACCACCACCACCACCATTATAATCAATAAATTGTTGATTTTGTTGTAAATTATTATTACTATTTCCGTTGAATAATGCGGCAGCATTATCATCATCAACAATAACCGGTGCTAAAATGGCTAATTCTGTTTGCGGAATCATTTTCGGTGTTGAAGGCATCGAACATTCTTGTGGTGTTCGACATCTGTATTTAAAATGAAAAAAATTCGAATCATTTTGGATAAAATTTTTTGGTCAATTCAAATAATACGTACGATATGGTGATGGACGATTGCGGATATACACATCGATTATAATTCGAATGTTGTTGTTGTTGTTGTTTGGTCATATATTTACGAAAAATATTTGTTGATTGTTTTTGTTGTTGTTGTTGTAAACAATTATTCAATAATTGTTGTAATTTTGCAGTATTTCCATCATCTTGATCAATTTTATCATCACCATTTTGTGTGACAAGATTTTTGAAAAAACGTCCATACATTTCAGGTAGATTGGCCATATTTTTGGAAAATTGATTCATATCAATAATATATTGTGCTTGATTTTCACCACCATTACCTCCACCTGAAGATGATTTAGCTCCAACAGCAACATTTTCTTTACCACGTAAGAATGGCATTTTTGGTAAATTTGACATAAATTTATTACGTAAATCACCACCAATACCTGTTGAACCGATATTAGCGAAACCATTTCCACCAATGACACTGCTTATACCACCACCACCATTATCATTACCGCTTGCAGCCATAATACCGGCTGTAGCAGCTTGACTCCATGATTTCATTGCTGATGACATCATCATTGGCATAACTAAATGTAACATTGGTGCCCTGATAGCACCGGATTTAATCAATGGTTTTATAAATAATTTTGCTTTCAATAATTTTTTCATCATTTTTATTCTAGCTAATTTTGAATCAACTAAATTATTTGATTGTAGAATTATTTGCATTAATATCAATATGATGAATAGAAATGAAAATGATTTTTTCATCGTTTTAATCGATGATGATGATGATCGATGATCACTTTTCATGTTTTCAATTTGTTTTTTACTGGCAATGTTTGTTTGTTTGTTCACTTTTTTTTGATGAAAAATTGTCGTATATAGAATGGATCACTTGATTGAAAAAACGATAATCTATATTTCCCAAAAATCCATTTGAAAATTTTCATATGATGATGATCGAAATTCAAAGGAAAACAAAACAAAAGTGAAAACTTCTGGATTTTTATGCAAAAGAATGTCATCATGTCTTTTTATATGAAAAACATTCTAACCCGATTTGAATTGAATTGATTGCTTGACCAATCGATCGATTGATCGATAGATCGATCAAGTAACCAAAAACAAAAAAAAAGAGCCAATATTTGATTGACCTAAAAATCGATGATCCACACACACACATCATTGTCATCCATCCATCCATTGTATGATATCCGGGAAAAGAAAAAAATATAAAGATGTCACATTCTCAATTCGGTTTTCTTCTTCTTCTTCTTCAAAACAAAACTGTAACACCTGTATACGAATATGATCAACAGGTTTTAGAGATGGGAGAGAACTGAAAAAAAAATTTGTCAACCAGTAGTAGTAGTGGTGGTGGTGATTGTGTTAATGTCAATATTTGATTTTGAAATGAAAAAAAAACATTTTTTCCAAAATCTTTAATTGTCTAATGCTAAATGGTTCTATTTAGATAATAAATGGATTCATCCATCCATTCATGCATCGAATACGAAAAAGAAAAAAGAAAATACCGTTGTTGTTGTTGTTGTTATCAAGTGTTAAGGGGGAAAACAAAAACATTCTTTTCCGTTGTTTTTTTTTCTTCTTTACTTTCTTAATTGATCATCATCATCATTCCATAGCTAATTTGTCAACATGTTGAATATTTTGTTTTGTCTGGTTTTATTTTTTCATTTCATTGATGTTTTATGTTTATTTACATTTCTGTTGTATGTCAAAACAAAACAAAAAACAGCAAAAACAACGATGATAATTCCCATACGAAAAAAAACATCAATAAACAACCACGATCGAATACAAAAACATAAAATAAAAAACAGGAATTGTTAAATATCTTTACTATTGAATTTTTGTTTTGTTTTTTGACAGTTTTGTTTGATCAATCGACAACAATAAATCCGATGAATAGAATTTCATTTTCAAATAAAGATTTTTTAATTTTGTTTTCTTTGATCGACTAATTTCATACACACACACACACACGGAAGTGTTTATCATTTCCGTTGGTTATTTACTACATTTCCTATTTAAAATGAAAGCAAGAGAGAGAGAGAGACAAACAATGATTTTATTTAATTAATTTCATTTTCATATTCAAATTTCTTTTGTTTTTTTTTGTTTTCAAAGAAAATTTTTGAATTTTTAGATTTTTGAAGAAAAAAAAAATATTATTCTTTTTAACCAATTTTAGAAAAATATTGCCATAATGGTGATTGATAACGATAACNTTGATTGCTTGACCAATCGATCGATTGATCGATAGATCGATCAAGTAACCAAAAACAAAAAAAAAGAGCCAATATTTGATTGACCTAAAAATCAATGATCCACACACATCATTGTCATCATCCATCCATTGTATGAAATATATCCGGGAAAAAAAATAATATAAAGATGTCACATTCTCAATTCGGTTTTCTTTTTCTTCTTCTTCTTCAAAACAAAACTGTAACACCTGTATATGATTAACAGGTTTTAGAGAGGGGAAAGAACTGCCAAAAAAAATTTGTCAACCAGTATTAGTAGTAGTGGTGTTAATGTCAATATTTGATTTTGAAATGATAAAAAATTTCAGAAATCTTTAATTGTCTAATGCTAAATGGTCCTATTTGTTGATAATAAATGGACGCATCCATCCATTCATGCATCGAATGAATGAAAAAGAAAAAAGAAAATACCGTTGTTGTTATCAAGTGTTAAGTAGAAAAAAACAAAAACATTCTTTTCCGTTGTTTTCTTCTTCACTTTTTCTTTCTTAATTGATCATCATCATCATCATCATTCCATAGCTAATTTGTCAACATGTTGAATATTTTATTTTGTCTGGTTTTCATTGATGTTTTGCGTTTATTTACATTTTCTGTTGTATATTTTTGTATGTCAAAACAGCAAAAACAACGATGATAATTCCCATACGAAACAAAAAAATCAATAAACAATTGAGAAGAATGAAAAACAGGAATTGTTAGATATCTTTACTATTGAATTTTTTTCTTTTGACAGTTTTGTTTGATCAATCGACAAAACAATAAATCAGTATGAATAAATGAATGAATAGAATTTCATTTTTTTTTCTAATAAAGATTTGTTTCCAGGTTTGATTTACACCTTTGTTGTTGTTGTTGTTGTTTTGTTTTCTTTGATTGACTAATTCAGACACACACACACACGGAAGTGTTTATCATTTCCGTTGGTTTTTCCTATTAAATTTTCAAATGAAAGCAAGAGAGAGAGAGAGAGAGAGAACAATGATTTTATTTAATTAATTTCATTTTCATATTCAAATTTCTTTTGTTTTTTTTTTGTTTTCAAAGAAAATTTTGAATTTGAAAAAATTATTATTTTTAACCAATTTTAGAAAAATATTGCCATAATGGTGATTGATAACGATAACAACGATGTGATGATAATGATGGTCGAATAAAATTTGAAGGATTTAGTTGCTGGTGTCGTCGATTAATTCTTGATGCCGGTATACCATTATAGATATGATCATAATGTACATTATCATCATCATAATTATAATTATCATTACCATAATATTGTCCATAATAATCATTATTTTCATTATAATTTTGATTTTGATGATGATTTTGACCATAATTCATCATACAATTATTATTATGATTATAATCATCATCCCCATTATCATCATAATGTTCATTATATTGATCATATGGATAACTAATATAATCCGAATGAATCGTTCCATAATTTTCATCATCATCATAATTTGTTGGTTGATATGATTGATGACCATCGTATGAATAATGATGATCACCGTATGAATATTGTTGATGTTGTGGAACATATACCGGTATTGCTGCTATTGGTTGATGCGGTGGATAAATATATTTCGTTGGTTTCGGTGTTGTTGTTGTCGTCGTTGTTGTTGTTGTTTTGATTTTCTTTTTATATGGTTTTGGTTTTGGTTTATATGGTTTTGATTGTTTTGGTAGAATATAATCATTTAAATAAATATGTTGATGATGTTCTTCAACATTTAAATATTTAACTTTTTTTAGACCATATTTTTTAGCTTTATTTTCTTGTTTTAATTGTTTTAATTGTAATTTTAATAATTTTTTCAATGGAAATGCTGATATTAGGAATTTTGTTGTACTGCTGCTGTAATGATGATGATTAGGATGATGATTGTGACCAGAATTTAACCAGAATATTCTGATGATATCTTCAAAGACGATAATGGCAATTATTATTGTTAAAAACGTATTGAATGTTGGTAGTAGATACATTTTTGTTGAATTCAAGGGTTTAGATATGACCTTCACTTTATTGACAATGAAAATGATTTGATTTGTCGATCGATCGATCGATTGATTTTTTTGTGGTTGTTTTGGTTGATCGAAATTCAATTGATAATTTTTCTCTCTCTCTTTGATTCTATTTTAAAAGACTTAATCGCTTTTCGTTGGTCATCTTTTTCTTTGTAAATTGAATAAAAAGAGAAAATTTTGAATTCCCATCATCATCATCATCATCATCATTATCGGTAAAAAAAAGGATGAGAAATTTTCTAGGAAAAAAAATTAGATTAAATTGTTCAAAAAAATCAAAATCCGATAAAGATGTTTGAAAAATTCGGTTTTCTCTCATTTTTTATTATTTAAAATAATAATAATGATTTTATTTTTTCGCATGGCGCCGTTAACAAAAAAAAAATCCGATTTATTTTTGAATTTTTCAAAATGATTTTCAATTTGATTGTTGTGTTGGCAGTGATGATGATGATGATTGTTGTTGTTGTTGTTGTTGATGATCAGATTTTCTTAATAACGGATAGACAACATGTTGTTCACCAACAATTTGTCCCGAATTCATTATCATTGGATGTGAATGTGATTGAAATTGTTGTTGTTGTTGTTGTTGTTGTGTTGGCATTGATTTTAGTGGCTGATTAAATTGTGAATGTTGAATCATTGGATTCAGCATTGGTGGTGATGGTCTCATCATCATCATCGGTGGTGGTGGTGGTGGTGGTGGAATCATTAAAGGAGGATGAAAAGGTGGTCTTGATTGTATTGGAAACATTGGTCGCATTATTGGTATTGGAAATGGAATTTGTGGTGGAAATGGTGGCAGTCTTTGTGGTTGTGATTGTTGTTCTGTTGATGATAATGGTCTTTGTTGTTGTTGTTGATGATGATGTTTTTGTTGATCATCTTTTTGAAATGATGGTTTCATTCCATTTGCATTCAATTTTCGTTTATTCCATAATCGTATTCGATCAAGATATTTTCGAATATTATCTGGTATTAATTTTCGTTCTTGTTGTTGATGACTTAATTGTGTTGAATCCATTGGTACATAAGTATAATTCATAATTACTTTTTCACTTGAACTTGTTTCAATCTCTGATTCACTGGTTGTTACTGATGTCATTTCAGTTGTTGTTATTTCATCATCATTATTATCATTATTATTAGCCACTGTCATATATTGTTGTTGTTCAGCATCATCAATATCATCATTATTCATTTCTTGATTAATATCATCTTCAGTAGATGGAATTTCTGTTTCAGATTCTTCATTGATTTCTTGTGATTGATCATTACCATTATCTTCAATTTCGTTTAGATTTGTTAATGGTTTTTCTCCCAAATGAATAATTGTTTGTTCGGTTGTTAAATTTTCATCATAATCATCATAATCATTTTCAATTGGTTTTTGTTTTGGAGATTTGGGTTTTTTTCGTCGCCGTTTACGACGACGGCGACGACGACGATGACGTTTACGTTGTTTTTCAGATTTTCTTTGTCGTTGACGACGTTTTGATTGTTTAGATTTTTTCAAACGATTTTCTTTATTGATTCTTGTTTTTCCCATTATATCACCGGAATTATTATTGATTGACAATAAATTTGTTGTACTACGTAATTTGGTTTTCAAATATTTACCAATATTTGTTGTTTTTGTTTTACGTTTTTTATCATTTGCAGTTATTATCATATCTTTACTTGCTAATGATAATTGTTCATCATTTTCATCATCAAATGTTGGTTGTATTTCTTGAATCATATCACCACCACCATCATTATTTTCCATACTATTAGTTCCGGTATTATATTCATCACCCGTTTGTAATGATTGATCCGATGCATACATTTGTATTTGTTGAGGTCGTTGTTTTTGTTGCGGCATTTGATTATTATTATGTAAATAATTTGCGTTTACATTCATATCATTATGATTTCCATTATGATTTCCATTATGATTTCCATTATTATTATTATTATGATTATTATTATTCATTTCAAGTGAACGATATTCATTCGAATCGGTTATAGGAAATGGACGATTTTTTGGTAATCCAAAATTTTTTCCATAAGAATTATCATAGCCACCACCACCACCAGCGCTGCCAATATTAATATCAACACCAATATCATCATAACCACCACCACCACCACCATTATCATCATAATTGCCATCATCATAATTATCATCAAATTCAGTTCCATATCCATCAAGATCATTATCATCATCATCATCATCATCATCGAATGAATATGATGATTCGCTTAAAAATTTTGGTAAACGATTACGGCAACATTTTTTTGGTTTACATCGTTTCGGTTTACTATTTTGATAAAATGAAAATAAAAATTAATATTAATTACAATTGATAAAATGAATTAAATTATAAAAACTCAATTTTTTTACCTAAGAATTATTGGTGGTGCAAATATTGGAGGCGGTGGTGGAGGAGGTGGTGGTGGTCTTGGTTTATTATCATTATCTTTATGAAATAATCCAAGAAATTTAGCCGCTAATATTGCAACAAGAATTTCATCACTTTTCATTGCATTAGCTGTTGGTAAAAGTAAAAAATTTATTCTTGGTTGATTACATTGATGATAATCATTGATATCAAAATGAATCGATGATAAAATGATTGTATACAAAATGAATATGATTATTGATCGAAATAACCAAATATTATACATAATAATAATATTATCGTTGGTTTTTTATGGTTTTTTTTTTTGGGAGTTTTAAATTATCAAAACATTTTTAAACAAGATTATCAATCAATCAATCAATTGAACAAAACATTATCAACGATTAAATTCAACATAGATAAAACATAGATCATTGATCATTTGATTCACACATAACACCACCACCGTCAACAGATTGATTAAACATTTTATGATTGAAAAACAAAAATATTCATGCTTTTTTGGATGGAGGTGATTCAACTTGCTTGATTGTAATTTGAATTCGATTATATCATCATCATCATCATCATCATTATATAATTATTATCGATCAATTTTTTTTCTTAAAGATAAGAGTCAAACAAGAGTTATCACTGTATGTGTGTGTAAGATCTGTGTAAGATTCGTTGAACAATCATAATACTCTCTCCCCCCTCTTCTTCTTCTTCGAATGATTGATTTGATTTGATTTGGTTTTAATGAATTACCATGGTTATCTGTGAATTTGAATTAAGCAAAAAGAGGCGACATCATCATTATCTAGACATTTTTTAATTTTTAATTTTCTTTTTTTTTTTTGATACGAATCATTTGGTAACGAGAGTGAGAGGATTGTTTGTGTTTCCATTTCTGATTATTGTTTCGGTTGATCGATATGATTTTTTTTTTGTTTTATTGACAAACAAAAAACAAAAAATCCTGTCCTGTTCCAATCGAATAGATCGATTAATTACAATGGATTTTTTTTTTTAAATAAACAATCGGTGGGTTTGTTAAACACCTTTAAAGATCCTGGTTTGTTGTGTTTTCTCTTGGAAAAAAAAAATCAAATTTTTTATAAATGAGTTTTATGATAATTAATTGAAACTTTTTCTTTTTTGATTTTTTTTTAGGAATTAGCATTTCAACAACAACAAAGTCTTACCTATTGTGAAGATTTTACTAAAAATCTAGCCGGTGCTGTTCAAACATTAGCATTACTTGAATTACAAGCCGATATTAATCAATTACAACAATTATTTCGATTATCACCATCGATGAATTATGATATGATTAATAATAATAATAATAATAATGCCACCGCTATTACAAATAATTGTTCTACATATATAATACCGATGCCAAATTTTTCAAAAAATCGTAAAACATTTCCATCTTTAATAAGTAAAAATGAAAATCGTTCAATAATAATATTTGGTGGTAATCTTACAGCATTACATGTACGTGATAATGAACGTAATAAAAATGATTTAGATGTTCCTTCCATATTAAAACATGTAAGTTTATCTCAATATTTTATCACCGGTATTTATTTACATTTTTTTCAGATGATCGATTATCTTGGTGAAAATGGTGTCAAAGAAGAAGGAATATTTCGTGTTCCTGGAACTAAAAATCGTTTGAATGTAAGTTTTTAAACAAAAAATGTTCGATTCTATTTTAACCTAACATTGATTTCTATTTTTATCATTCGATTTGATAATCAAAAAGAAATTGGAAGAAGAATTAACCGATCTTTATTTAAATTATTATAAATTAAATAAACCGGATGATATTGATGAAATTAATACGATATTCGATAAATATAATGTTCATGATGTTGCATCATTATTAAAATTATTTATTCGTCGTTTATCACCACCATTAATGACAAATGAATTAATGGATATATTTTTAATGATACCGAAAATTATGAATATATTTGTTAAAATTAAGATTTTAAATCTATTAATGCTTACATTGAATGATACACATCGTAATAGTTTGAATGCATTATTGAATCTTTCAAATAAAGTTGTACGATTTAAAGAATATAATCTGATTACATTGGATGGTATTGTTACATTATTAGCTGCTAATCTTTTTAATTTTTGTCCATCACCATCATCATCGAATAATCGTAATAATAATCATCAATCAACAATAAATGGTCAAAAACGTTCAAGTATATCAACAACAATCGATTCAATTGGTTTACCTACTACTTATTCTCAACAAGAAAAACGAGATGGTTCACCAAAATCATTATCATCCAATAATAATAATAATCATTATCGAAGGATATCTGTTTCTAGTCAAGCAGTAAATGAGATCTCAACCGAAATGGCTAATCAATTGGAACGTACACAGAATTCATTAGGTGTATTAAAATTATTGATCAATTTGCAGCCAATTTTATTTCATGTAAATATAACATTTTATATTTATATTTTTTGTAATTGTAATTTTTTTTTCTCCCGCTTGAATTTCAAACTTTAGATACCACCATATCTTGAACGACAAATTCATGAAAATGGAGAGAAAAAAGCTCAAGTTAATAAATTGTTTAATTTATAAATTCAATCATCAACAGATGTCACTACTAGGTGTTCAATTTATTTTTATTGGATTTTTTTGTATTTTTTGTTTTAAGAAATTAAAATCACAATTTATTTATAATTTGTTTAATTATAATTTGTATTATTCCACATTCATCACATTGTTGTTGTTGTTCCGAATCCTGATTTATCTGTTGACCACCACCAACAATATTGTTCATTTTTAATGGTTGTAAATAACGACCTTCAATACGATTGGTTAAACGTTTCCATTTTGGATCTATTGATAATTGTTTAATTAAATCTGGATTTTGATCAATTAATCCATTGATTAAATATAAAGAATTAGTCAATAATGATGGATAATTAAAATGATTATACATTATATGAATTAATGCAGTTATTAATTGATCTGATGATTGTATACTGATCGATGAAATTTTTTGTAAATTTAAAAATATTGATACAATATAAAAAGCAATCATTTTATGTTGTTCACTACGATTTATACACTTAAGTAAATCAATCCACCATTGTATAATTATTTGCCATTTTTGTAATAAACGATAACAAATTTCAAATGAATATTTAGTAAAACGATATAAATCATTTAGATCGTTTATAAATTGATCGGAAATCATACGATGATGATTATTAATCATTGAATTTTTTGTCAATTTTTCCATTCGTTTTAATATTTTTTCTGTTTTCATTCCGATTGTAATGATTATTGTTGATGGTTGTTTTTTTTGTTTCAAATTACCAAGATTGATTGAAATAATTTCAAGCAATGGATATTTATTATAAATTTGCTTACGGCATCGATAACCATACCAAAATCGTTGTATTGTAATAGCGGCTTTTTGTCTATGTATCAAGAATTTTTCAACATAATTTCTACATATAATTATATTACGGCGACATCGATACCATCGCTGTATGATTATCGTCGCTTGTCGTATCCGGTTATAATTTAAACGTTGTTTACGAGCGGCTATTTTCGAACGATACCATCGTTGAATAGTAATAGTAGATTTACGTAATAATAAAAATTCATTACGTAAACGTCTTGTTTCATTTCGACAACGAATAAATCTTTGTATGAAGACAATCTGTTTCAAATAAAGACAATATCTTTTTTCGATTAATAAATTAAATTCGATACGCATCAATGATTGTAATGTTTCTAATGTTTGTTGTCGATAATTTCTAGCAATAGCTAATGCATTTTCCGCATTCCATTCAAATTTTGAATCATAACAATGAAAAATAGGATGACATTGTTCAAATAATTTGCGAACATTGTCCATATCTTTACCTGGTTTCATTTTTGATAATAATGCTATTGAAAATTTTTCCGGAAATAATAGCTGAATAATACGTGCCAAACGTATACCATTCGATAAATCAATCGATAATTGTTCGATATGAAAATTTGAATGATGAAATTGTTGTTCATGATGGCCAAGTTTAAACGATGTTGATGATGATGATGATTGTTTTAAACGAAATTTAAGCCTTTGCCATTGTTCCGGATAAAATGTTTGCCGTAAAAAATTATCAAGAATTTTTTCCGAACTTTGTGGCCATTTACGAAATAAACATGGATGAATAATCATTTCGGTCAATTCTAATCGAGCATGATCCAACCAATAAATCATTGCTATCAGATTTGTACATCGTTTTCGATCATCATCATCATAATCGATAAAAATTTGAAAAATTTTTCTCAACAAATTTTCATCCTTATCATCATCATCATCACCGTATTGTTGACGAACAAAAGTTTTGAATAAAATTTTCAACCAAATCGAACGATAATTTAAAATCAACACTATTTTAATCCAATCAGTCGATGATGATGATGATGTTTGTTGATTTTGAACATTTAACGTATCATAAATTAATGCTCGCAATGGTTGTAATTGTTTCCAAATATTATTACATTTAAATTGAAATTCATTGGATCGAATTAGTTTTATCATATGATCATTATTACATTGATTTTCAAAATAATCAATTTTATTATTAAACCATTTGATTAATTTTTGTTCCAAATCCATTTTTTGTTTGGGGTTAAGTGGTGGATTATTTGTTGTTGTTGTTGTTTGCTGGAATGTAATTCGAAACGAATAAAAATTTTATATTGATGATTTGTAATTGAATTTTATTCTATACTCTTCGAACAAAAAATTCTGTAATTTTATTAAAATTTTTTTTTGTATACTTTTCACCGTTTAACCGAGGAACATTTCGAACAAATCCGAGTTTATATTTATGAATTTAGTATTTCGGTTTATGAAAAAAAATTATGTAAAGTTTTTCCAATGAAAAAAAAAATATATTCAACGAAGCTATCATCAGCCTTTCAGGATAATTGATTTCAATTTTCATAATTAAATATGATGTTCTTGTTGTTGTTGTTGTTGATATCGTAATTGAATTTTCAAGAATATTTTCAAAAAAAAAAATGAAAATATTTTCCAAAAAATTTTCATTTTTCATCGAAATGAAAAAAATGCCGCATTCGCGCTTGCGCATAATCAAATTTCAGTCAAACAAAATTTCAAAATGAATTTTTTTTCCGGTAAAGAATGAATTTATTATCCGGTTTTTTTTTGTTTCGATTAATAAAAAAAAATTCAAGATGAAAAATGATGAAAAAATAATAATTCTGGTTTCGATGAAAAAATAAAAACATTGGTTTTATGATGTTTTTTTTCGTTTTCTTCTTCTAAAAATAACGTTCCCAATCAAAATCATTAATATAACCATTATCATTATCATCATTATTATCATCATCACCACCATAATCATTGTTATTATTATTATTATTATTATTATTTAGACCATCATTTGATGATTTTGTAAATTGTTTTGGTTGTTGTTGTTGTTCCGATGTTGTTATTGATTTTTTATTATTCGATAAATTACGTTCAGTATCACTATCACCACCAATAGCACCGCCACCACTACCCGAACAACTTGATAATGATTTAAGTAATGATATTGAACCGGAATGTTTATTATTTTTCATTAATTTTTCTTGTTTTTTAACCATATTATTATTATTATTATCACCAATCACTTTATCGATTATAGTATCCATATCGAAACAATCAAAATGTCTTGTATCAGTATTTGATGTTAATTTTGGTTTAATTGGTGCTAATAATTTTCTTTGTATTAACATATTCCAATTAAAACCTAAAAACCATTTATGTCTTTTAATATCATTATAACCATTACGTCCACGTATACCAAGTCTATCATTTGGATTTTCTAAACAAAGATTACGTATAATATTTACACAATGTTTGGAAAATATTTTCTCATCAAAACCAATCGAATCAAAACCACGTAATATAATATGATAGGTTTGTAATGGATCGTTCGATATGAATGGTGGTCTAAGAAAATAAAAAAAATATTAAAATTAAAATAATTTTTATAATTATAATCAAAATAAATAATAATTACAATCCAGTTAATAATTCATAAATTAATATTCCTAATGCCCAAATATCGACAGCTTTATCATGGCCACGATTCAATATAATTTCCGGTGCTACATATTCAGGTGTACCACAAAATGTCCATGTTTTTTCACCAGCCGGTAGATACTGTTTCGGGGTTTGGTTTGGTTTGAAGAAAAAAAAATTCATAGTTAAAATTGTCATTTTTACCAATTTCTGTCCAAACATACTTTACTAAAACCAAAATCCGTCAATTTTAGATAACCATCCGAATCGAGTAGACAATTTTCCGGTTTTAAATCACGATAGATAATATTTTTTGAATGTAAATATTGTAATGCTTCGATAACACATGCAGCATAAAAACGAACACATTGTTCATTGAATGGTCCTCTTTTTTGTTTTTGAAAATTGAAAATTGAATCAATTAATTTGTCAATATCAGATACAAAAAAACTCAAAATTAATTTGATTTTTGATTTTACCTTTGTCTTAAAACAGTCCATAATTCACCACCAAGTGCCGTTTCCAGAAGAAAATAAACATTTAAATCATCTTGAAATGTACGATATAATTTAATTATAAATTGATTATTACCAGCAACACATTTCATTACTAATTTTTCATTAACAATATGTTGTTGTTGATGTGATTGACGAATAAATTGTTTTGAACATTTTTTCATTGCAAATACTTTATCATGATCATTACGACAACGTACAAGATGTACAGTACCAAAACCACCCATACCTAATTGTGTTAATATTTCTAAATCATTTAATTTTAAATTTTTAACAAACAATTCAAATGGTGATAAATCTTGTTCATTTATAATTGTTCCCGTTGATGATGATAATGATAATGTTGATGATTTTGAATGAAATTTTTGCCATTCATTTATCATTGTATCCGGTGATAATGAATGTTTTTGATTTTTATTAATCGAATCAGTATAGGATTTATATCTATGCAAAAAAATAAGATTTTTAAAAACAAAAAAAATAAAAAGATTGATGATTGAATGTAGGAAGGGAAAACAAAAACATACTTTATTTCCTGTAATTCACCAAGAAGATTAAAAAAATTTGCCTGATCCAATATTAAACATTCACAATCTTCCGAAATAACATTAGCCGTACGTATTGCACCAATATTATCGGATAATTCTGTTTGTATTGTAGCTGTTTTTGTTTGTTCATTTGTTGTTGTTGTTGTTGTTGTTGTTGTTGTTTGTTGTAATAATGTTTCACGTGTATCATCCAATAATAATAATGCCTGTTCACCAAAATAATCACCTTCATTTAATGTTCGTATTGTTTCTTCTTTAATAGCTTCTTCTTCATCAATCAAATCATATTGATGATGATAATATTGATGATTTGATGATGATGATGATTGTCGTACTTTAGTTACTCTAACCGAACCTTTACTTATTATATAAAATGAATCACCAAAACATCCTTGACGACAAATATATTCACCGCGTGGATAATAATCCTTGAAACAAAACATTAAAAAAAGATTAAAGATTAACCAAATTTTCGGTATTCGGTAAAGCGTGGGTATAAATGGGATTTGAATATTTAAAAAATGGAAAGGCTTTTTCTGTTTTCCTCCGCACACACACACACACACCAAACATCATTTTCTTCATTCGAATAAAGTCATAGTCGAAGATATTTTTTAAAGAATTTCTTTTTCTCCTCTTCTACTTCTGGTCCTAATAACCAAGGGAAAACAAACTTAATCATTTGAAAAATGAAAATATCCGATTATATTTGGATTTTGTCTGATCATCATCATCATCACTATAGTTCAATTCAAATGAATTTTTTTTTATTATAGATTGTTTTTCGGTTAAATAAAAAACAAAACAAATGTTTGAAAATGTTTTTGCCTGTCTTTGCCTACGATTCAGAATCGGGTTACAACAAACGAAAAATTACATTCAAAACAAATAAAGATTATGATTTGTTTCATTCATGGTTTTCCTGTGAATTTTTTTTCTTTGTTCTTTTGAATTGAATAAAAGAAAATATTCATGTCTTGTTGTATACATACCACTTCAACAGCATCCGATATTTTTGTAATTTTTTCATCACTTAAATTCTGTAATAATGGTACTCTATGTAGATGAATAGCAAAAATATTAAGTAATATTCGAAATTAAAGTTTTTATAATACAAACTTTTTTAAAAATTGTTTTATACAATGTGTACGATCCATTGATGTTTTCATCATAATCATTTGAAATACTTTACGATCTAATACCCATGTACGTACTCTTGTTAATGCTTGTTATTTTGTTGTTTTATAACGGGGAAAAATTAATTATAAAAATAAAAATTTATAATTTATAAAAAAAAAAATTACAACTTACTTCGTACCGATGCTGTACGTGTACAATTATATAATAATGCTAATTCACCGAATGCTTTACCCGGACCAATTTGATTAACCGGTCGATCACGACAATCAATAATTTCACAATGACCATAACTTATAACATAAAGATGTGAACCATATGTACCACGACGACAAATATAACGATTTTTTGAAAATTCTTTTACATACATTGAATTTACAATTAAATCCATTTGTTCATTATTTAGATAATTTTTCAGAAATGAATTATCCATCAATGCATCCTGTATAATACGGCGGCAATCAAAATCTTTCCAAAAAAAATTTATAATATTTTTTGAACGATTTTCATTTTTATTATTATTATTTTTATCAGTTGTTACTGGTGTTTTAATAGTCGTTGTAATTGATTCACCACTAACACCTTTTTTCTTTTCTGGTTGTGTTATATCTAATTTATTATTATTTGTAGATTGAATGTCGATATCCATCATATTGTTTGATAAATGGTGATTATAATGTGAATCTTGTTGTTGTTGTTGTTGTTGTTGTAATGTTGTTGTCATTTTAATCATTGTATTCATCTGTTCTGAATGATCTAATACTGAACGTAATTTATGTACTTCACGATGTAATTTTAATAGCTGTTGTTCACGTTCATAAATTTTACGTTTTGAATTAAGTAATTCATTTCGTAAACGATTCATTTCATTTGATAAATCAATATCATTAACATCATCATCATCAATAATATCATTATTATTTATAACAATAATATTATTACAATTATCATTATCATTATTATCTTTATCGAGTAATTTTGATTTTTTTACTAAATTATTATCATTATTATTATTCGATTCATGATTTATAATTGTTTGATCAATTTCTCTATTAATTATATTTGATTTTCGATTATTATTTGTTGTTGTTGTTGTTGTTTTTTTACAATGATGACGATATGGAAATCCTGATGATGTTGTTCGATTATTTAAAAATCGAAAACGATAATGATGATAATTACTAATTGGCCGTTGTTGTTGTTGTTGTTGTTGTTGTGATGATGTAGTATTTGTTGTTTGTAAACGTCGTAATGTAGCCGTATGATTACCCATCATTATTTTTTGTTTTGTTTTTTGATGATCTATTTTTGTTTTCATGAATAAATTATAAAACAAATTAAAATTTTTGATTCTTCAATGAATACAAAATATATTCTTATTTTTTTTTTAAAAAGTTAATTTTAGTAACAGAACTTTGTTTTATTATCATTCATATTTGACAGAAATAAATATTTACATTTCGTAATTTCAAATGGAATTATGTTTTTGCCGTTTTTTTTTGTTTTTTTGTTTTCTTTTGATTGTTGATTATATTCATTATTCTGGATCTCATTATTACTCCTACATCATCATTTTATTATTCAACCATTTTGTTTTCTCTCTCTCTCTCTCTCTCTCTCTCTCTCTCTCTCTCTCTCTTGCCTAATACTTTATATTATATTTACCATTCACAACTCNAAAGTTAATTTTAGTAACAGAATTTTGTTTTATCATTCAAATATTTGACAGAAATAAATATTTACATTTCGTAATTTCAAATGGAATTATGTTTTTGCCGTTTTTTTTTTGTTTTTTTGTTTTCTTTTGATTGTTGATTATATTCATTATTCTGGATCTCATTATTACTCCTACATCATCATTTTATTATTCAACCATTTTGTTTTCTCTCTCTCTCTCTCTCTCTCTCTCTCTCTCTCTCTCTCTTGCCTACTACATTATATAATATTTACCATTAACACCTCAAATTAAAGCCAACAAAAAAGGTATCATTTCTATGTTTTCTTCCATTCATTCATTCATTCATTCATTTATCAACATAAAATCATATTCATAATGTAACTTTTTTTCTTTGTAACTATTCTATTCATCATTTTTGTTTTTTGCTTTGTTTTGTATTCAACCTATATCAGAAAAGATAAGATTTCATAACTTTTTTTATAATTAATTTTTGAATAATGAAAAATAATATGATCCAAAACGATGTAATTATAATCTAACCTAAGGCAGATTATTTTGTTTTTGTTCGCTGTGGTTGATTGTAATTTTCGAAGAATAATAATAAAAAAGAATTACTATTCTCAAATTGTATTTTCATTTTTTTCCGATTAAATAATCGATTGAATAATCGATATATACAATTCAAATTAAACACATACGTCCATCACTCACACAAAAACATTCGAATTCATTCGAAAATGTGAATTATATAATTTCTTCTTTCCATTGAATTCAAATGATTTCGAATGTTTTCTTATCTAGATAGACCAGCAAGAAAAAAAATTGTCAAATTACAAGTGGAAAATTTGTTACAAACAAACAAACAAATCAAACCAAACAATTCAACCGAATAAACAAATACAATTTAATTGATTTCTGTGTGTGTGTGTGTGTGTGCGATTCATTCATTCATTCATTCATTGATTTGTATCAATGTTTTTTTTACACAAATAAATTAATCGCGAGGCTATTTAGCAAAACAAAAACAAGAAAAAAATATTATCAAATAACAACAACAACAACAGCCCTCATCATCATCATTTAAATGTAAATATCAAAATGTAGAATTGATAAAGAAATCAATGAAGAATGGAATTAATTTGTTCATTTTCCAATAATAATGATATCTTAATTCATTGATTGATTGATTGATTGATTAATTTCTAAATTGGAAAATTAATATATATTTTGTTGTATTCTATACAGAGATGAAATCTATGAAGAGAAAATCAAGTGGAAAAAGAGGATCGGATAATAGATACTGGTGGTGATATAATGTCAGGCTGGTACAAAAGAGGAAAAAAAACTTGATGTGATTCACATTCACATTCATAGAATTCAATTCAATACAATTCAATTCAGATGCTAAACAAATAAACAAAAAAACTGAAAAGAATGAAATGAATGAATGAAAAATATCATCATTTTGCCAGTGATTTACAAAATTCAAATCTATAAATGATGATGATGTCATTACAACATTTTTGAATTGAATTGAATTGGTCGAAAAAAAACCAAAACAAAACAAAAAAACGAAATTAATTGAAAATAATCCACACAAAAACATGAAATGTCAATAACAGAAATGAAAAAAAAAATTTTTTGATTCTGAAATTGAATGGAAAATTTTTTTAAAAAATTTTTTGAAATTTTTTGAAATTTACAAATCTGAACCTGAATTGACTTAAAGGAATTTGTTTGTTTTGTTTTTCTCATTGTCATGTGATGATGATGATTCGATAATACAAATGAAAAAATGGATTTTCTCTTTTTTTTTTGTTTGTTTGTTTGTCGGAAAATTCCTGGGAAATTTCTAATGTATTAAAATTAGCTAAATTGAAAGGATTCATTCATTCATTCAAATGTACACCTTGGAATTTTTCTTCTATTTTTTTATGGTTGGTTGATTTCTGAAAATCAAATCATTTCATTAACTAAATGAAACTAGATGAAAAACTGGATGAAAATGAAACGGGTTTTTGGTTGCTGGATTAGAAGCAAGCACAAAAAAAAAAAGAAAAAGGAAAATTCCAATCAACAAAATCGAAAAAAACTATATTATCATCATTATTCAAACGATTCAAGCTTTAGGGCATTCTATCATCATTATTGTCATTCTTTGTTCATTTTGATGACAAAAAACAATCAACTCAACTCAGCAAAAATATCAATTATTGAATAGATCTTTGGTCTGTTTTTTGGTTTGTGTTTTTGCATCGATATTTTTTTTGAGTGATAAAAAAGTTAAAAGAAATTTTCACTTACATTGATTCTTCCAACGTTAATTATTCAAAGTTTTTTTGTTTTGTTTTGTTTTTGCTTTGATTGTTTTTATATGGACACATAAACATAGCAAACACACAAACACACACACTGACAGAAAACATTAGAATCGTCGAATCAAAACAGAATTTTTTAAAATGAAAAGAAAAATCGTTTCCAAAAGTCGAAACAATCGATTTTGAATTTGTTGTTGTTGTTGTTGTTGTTGTTCCTGTTTGTTTGATTGGAATATTGTTTATATAATGAAAACAAAACAGAAAAAAATCAATCACAAAACATTGAAAATTTTGTTTTGTTTTTGTTTCGTCAAAAAAAAAAGTTCACATCACTCGAAGAATCACAGCAAGAAGAAATAATTTATAACAGCAACAGCTATTTATACCCATAAATATTGACAGGAACCAGAAATATCGAAATAGACGAATCGAATGTTTGTTCAAAACGAGCCAAAAAAATAAAATCAAAACCAAAACAAAGTTTGAAGATTTTCTTGATTATATTGATATTCGATATGTTTTTCTACGAAATACTAATTAAAAAATGAATGAATGAATGAACAGAAGTTTGTTGAAATTAATTATGAAATTTGAACAAATATTGCATTGCAAAACATCTGTAACGAGAAAAAAGAAAGAATGAAGAAATTTTTTCTTCGAATCAAATTTCATCTTTTTTTTTCTTCGAATCAAAATTGACCAATCATCAATCCATACATAACAACTTACCTTTTTTTAAGATGAGAAAAGAAAAACCAATTTTCATTGATTTTGTTTTTGTTGTTCAGTTTCAAATTTCATGATTCCAAAAAAAATAGACAAAAATCAACGATTAATTAAATTTTTGTTTTTTGCTTTCTTTCTGTTTACAATAGTTTATCGATACGAACGGAGAAGACAAGATTGAGAAACGAAAAATCAAAAGAATCCTTTTCGAATCAACGATTCGATGATGAATGGCGAAAATGAAATGAAAAAAAAAATATTTCATCATCCAAAATCATCATTCATTGTTGATTATATAATTGAGAATGAACGGTAAGAGACAATCTCATCAGAAAAAAAATGCGCATGATCAAATCGAAAAATTTTTCACATTCCATATATCGTCAAGAATGAAACAAAAAAGAATCATTAGATTTTCGTTTTCGTTTTTGAACGTTGGATTTTTTCAATCATCAAATGAAATGAAACCAGCCGAAAAAAATAACATCCAAATAATGATTAAAGATAAATGAATTTAATTTATTAAAAAAAAGACATTCTTGAACAGAATACCAACATCATCATCAGAAGAAGAAAAAGAACGAAGAAGAATCCAAAAAAAAAGCAAAGAAGAAAAAGATTTAGATTCAGATATATATAGCAAGAGAGACATCTCATCAAAGATCATGTAAAAGAATTCTCTAAAGAAACACCTGGCCGATAATTATTCAGGTAATGATTATTTAATCATAAGATTTATGACGTTTTAAGGAATACGACAAAATGATGATGATGATGAAATCGAATCCTGGATAATTTCTATTTCATCATTTCTTTATTCAAATCAACGTAGCTAAAAATAAAATTGAGCAATTAAAATTTTTGTTTCTCCGTTAAAACCAGCAAAGAAGAAGAAATTCAAAAAAAACCGGTTAGTCAATTTTTTTTCCAAATTTCAATGGAAAATTGGTGATTAAAGTTTTGTTTTGAAAGAATTTTTTTATTTTTCAAAACAAAATTAATTGGAACAATGAATAGTAGGAATCTATCAAAATGAAAGTCGCTAATTAATTTTTTTTTTTGTAAACTTTTCATTCAGGATTATCGTAAATGGCCAAAATTGTGAACTGAATTGAATTGAATTTTTTGTTCGTTGAAAATCAACTAACCAAATGATGCGATTTTGGTGAGATTTATTGAGAAAATAATCAAAATAATGTCCTAATCATCAAATTTTCCTGATTATGAACCGGGAGAAATATTTTTTATTTCACTTTTCATCCGCTGTCGGAAATAATTAACAGAAACAAACAACGGAAAAAAATTGTAATTAATTTTTTTTGTTTGACCCGAATTTTACGTCCTATGCGAATGTATTTTCGAGTATGTTATGAAAAGAAAACGTTCGATCGAATGATAATGATGATAATGAAAATCGGATGTAAAAAAATGCTTTTTCTCATTTCAAAAACATCAAATTTGATGCATCTTTTATATATTTCAAATAATAAAATTCATCACCTGATTCAATCACGCTAACGAACGACCAGTTCAGGTAAATTTTTTTTATTATTAATTTCCGTAAAAAGTAAATGAAAACAACGGACATGATGATCACCAGAGTGAAAATATTGCCCAAGAATTCGGATATGAATATGAATTTTCCATTTTTTATCATCATCATCATCAGTCATTCTATCAAGATGATAAAATCAGGATTGAAAAGAAGAAGAACAATTTTTTCCCGAAAATCGAATGAAAATGTTTTGATTGATCGGGTCGTTAATTTTCATGTTTTGTGGCTGTTATTGGTTTCTTTTTTTCAGTATCTTCATTTCCTTCAATCATGAACAAAAAAACTAAAAATGTGTGATCGTGCGCAAATATTCTTTTCTCAGCGAAAAAGAAACTTTGGTCAAAAAAACAGGATAATTTAGTTTTTATTTATTTATTTGAAAACAATAATAAGAAAAAAACAATAGAATCTCTAATGATAATTTACGAATTTTCGAAATAATCATGACTGACTGATTTCTTATCACCTGGAGAATCGAACGGTATACGAAACGATGGTTTTACTATATTCTGTAACGTACGAATAGTGAATCGTGGTAATAAACATATCACCGGTATGACAATTAAAGCACGCCAAAATTCCATCTCAAACACTAGATTCTGTGATAAGATTAAACAACAATAAAGAACGAAAATTCAACGCAAAAAAAAACAAAACTTACCACAAATAATTTATAATTTCGTCCACCCAATATCAAAAGTAATGAATCGGAATAATTAAAATCAAGAAAAAGCATCGATGACATAAAATAACCAATCGAAATGCCTATTGATAATACAAAATATTGATTCCAATATTTGTTTTCCATCATAATTTGCAGCAGGTTGGTTATAATAATCAATATGAATATTGTTAATCCAAATTCATAAACACCAATGGATGTAAAATTAAACATTCCATATGTAACGAAAAATATTATTGAACTTTGATATACGGAATCAATTGTTGTTACCCAAAATGATTGCATCGTATAAACGGTAGAATGTCGGCCACGTTCATAAAGTGTTGGATAATCAAGAAACACTGATTCATGACAATCTTTTTCAATAATACCACGTACAATTGCCGGTATTGTAGTGTAAAAAATATTAACAGCCATTAGATAAACATCATCCAATAATGATGTACCACTAAATCCAGATAAAAATTGATAGAAAAACAGCACGAATACAACCATTGTGTTTTTATAGAAAAAATACAATATGGTCAATGCTAAACGATTATAGCATAGATTTCCATGTAATAATAATAATCTTTCGAGAAAATGAAATCTTGGAATTGCAAAATCCGATGCCATTGCTGCTTGTGAACCTTCTAAACCAACTACACCGACACCAATAGCAGCCGTTTGTATCATGGCAACATCATTTGCTCCATCTCCAATGGCCAAAGTAAGTACGTTCAATTTATTTTTTACACATTTTACTACAAATGATTTTTGTGATGGTGTTACTCGACAACATAAAACCGAACCACAATATTGTGATAATTGAATAAAATAATCAACATTATCTTTTTGTAGAACAAAATTCAACGATGGTCCATCAATAACTAATCCCCATCGATTTCGTAAACGACTACTACTACCACCAGCCCCACCATTATCATCATCTTCTGGATCAAATTTTTCACGTTTCAAAAAATGATAAATACGTTTAAGCCATATGTAACTACGATCCATTTCTTTACTAGTCGTTGAATTAGTAGTCGTTGAATTAGTATTATTGTTGTTCATCGATTTTTCCGATGACATACTACCGAAACATAATTGGTCATCTTCATCACGGCTAAAATTTCTTACCGTATCCAGATGTCTGAGCAATTCTGTTCGTGCCGTTTTCTATTATTGAAAAACAAAACAAAACAATGTTAACATCAACCCTTCTCTCTTCTTAATTCATGATTACCTTTGATCGAACTATATTCAAATTGATAGTAAGAAGTCTCATATCACTGTTAAACAATTGACATGATTTAGCAATACTAATGGCCGTTTCCATTTTATCACCGGTAAGTACCCAGACCATTATTCCAGCATCACGTAATGCTTTAATCACTTGTGGTACACGATGTTGTAATCGATCTTCAATAGCTGTCGAACCAAGTAATTGTAAATCGCTTTCAAGTTCTTCATAAATTCTTAATATTTTTTTATCTCGATTTTCGCTTGATTCGGCTTTATTTACCTGAACAATAAAATCATCGTATTGTTGTTGGCTTAGTATACGTTTAGCAATGCAAAGAACTCTTAATCCTTTACTGCTATAATTATGTAAACATTGTTTGTTCAAAACCAATTCATTAGCCGGATTACATTGTTGCGCTGATGATAAATGTTGAAGTACAGTAAGATCAGATCCTTTTGTATAAAGAATTATTTGTCCAGTAAATGGACATCGAACAATAACAGACATTCGTTTACGATCCGAATCAAATGGTAAAGTGTATAACACTTTATAACTAATCAATACATTATTTGGTAACAAAACCGTAACCAAATCTCGAACCCGTTTTACCAAACGATATTGATATTGAAAAGCAGCTGTTACTAAAGCTACTTCATCCGGACTTTCTGATTCAAAACATGGACCTATTGTTTGTTGATGATCTTCGGTTGAAGATGATCGACTTTTTTCATTACTTTTTGTTTTTTTCATTGATTCTGGACTTTGAAATACATGAAACAAATCTGTTGGTTGAAACAATGATGATAATGATAATGATCCTTTAAGTGTTTTTACTGTTTTTACTGTTTTAGTTTCTTCACTTAATTCGGCCATCATAACCTGTTGTCCTTTTGCATTTAAATTATCTTGATGTAAAGATTGACTAGTTGCCGTATTACATATGGCTAATGTTATGAAAAAATCATGTATAATTTGTTGTTCATCATCATTCAACACAAATTTTTTATCATCATTTTTATCTTTGTCTTTATTTTGTTCATTACTTTTGTTTGATCGATCTTTCCATTTTTTATAATGTTCACCTATAGCTGCTACTTTGTCACATAATTGACTATTAATCAATTTGGTTGTAGTATTCATTATTTTTGGATTATCCGATTCATAATTAATACCTTTTATACAACAACATTGAAATTCCATTATATTTTCAGTTAGCGTACCAGTTTTATCACAAAATACATATTCAATTTGTCCTAAATCTTCAGTTATATTCCATGCTCTACATTCACAACGTTTTCCTGTTTGTTTATCAATAAGAAATTCATCACGATTGATAAGATAAACTTGTCCTAATTTTACCATTTCAATACAAACATATAATGAAATCGGTATAATCATTTGATAAAGAATTAAAAATGTTGCAAATGTTTTTAATGGCCATATAAAATCCAATGATTCAACCGGATTATCATAATCATTATATGGTGGTCGCATTTTTGGATCAGTAAATTGATCTAACCAAAAATATCTACCCATAAAACCAATAACACACATTATAATCAATATTACAACACACATTATTATATCACGATTCATCATTTTTTCTAATCGACTTCTTTTATGTCTAGGACCTTTATTATTTAACATTGCTTTTGATTCATGACCAGCATAAATTACTAAACCTTCTGCAAATCCAGTATTTTTCAATGTACAATCACGTAATAATATATTATCTTTGTTTATTGCTATACGTTTTCTTGGACTACCATCATCATTATTATAGATAAGTGAACCATTAAATTTATGTAATTTTAGATTTGGTTTTTCACATTCAACAATAAAATCAAAATCAGCCTGATCCAATGATTGATATGGTTTGATTACATCTGGTACTACATATCGTGGTTTAAGATTACTTTCACCATCAAGATTAGATGTTTCAACATAACATGTACCATAATCTTCATTTTCAGCCGATTGTGAACGTAATAATAATATATCTGCTGGAACCATTTCATTACAAGCAAGATGTATAAGATCACCAACTTGTACTTCTTTCCATTTGATTCGTACAAAACGTTTTGTTTTTGTATCATATCGACGTGTAGCCATATTATTAACACGTTTATCTGATAAATGTCTTCTTCGATCTTCAAATAAATCTTTAATAGCCGTTACCGATAATACAAACAACAGAGGCATCAATTGTACTTCACGTACAAATACTTCCATACCTAAAAAATCAATCAATCATTTCAATCATCATCATCAGCATCGTTAATTAATCAATTAACAAACCTGGTAGCCAATTAAGTATCTGTATGAATAGAAAATAAAGATTGGCAAAACGATAAAATTGTTCAAATAAATTTTTCGGCAAGAATGTAATCCACGTATATTTAGATGTATTAATACGATTCGCTTTATATGTAATATTAGTTTGTTTACTTGGTTCAACATTTGCATCCGCAAGAATCAAATTCGGTGTAACCAATCGAACATTTTTAGTTGGTTCTTTATGTTTTGATGGTGACATTTTTTTTCTTCTGTCGATTAAAACTATCAAGAGAATGAATGATTGGCCGAGTGGAAATACTTGTTTTTATTACCATTTTGAAAACCATAATTCATTTATCGAATGTTTGTTTGTTGGTTTGTTTGTTGCTCAATTGTTGTTGTTGTTGGCTAATCCAATTCAAAAAAAAAAAATACCTTGATCTCGAATTGGTTCGAAATTCGAAACGCTCCAACGGCTATTGTTGTTGACCATGACTGATCATGACTGACAATGACCATCAATACTATATGGCTAATACTGAATTCGACGACATTGACCAATGAACAAAATAAATGCCAACCAAAAAAACAAAAACAAAAAAAACTGGCCATATATAAAAGCTGACCGCACAATTTGTCACAAGACATTCATTGGTCAGGAGATTGTTATTCGGTTCATTTTGTTTTTTTATTGAGATCCATTTTATTTTTCTTGGAAAACAACGACAACAATGCACCATAATGTAAGCAACAACAAAAAAAAAATTCATTTTATTCCATAAATTCATTCCCTCATTATCATTGTTTTCCCGATGACTAGCGATTAAATACCATACTGCTACTAGTGATGGCAACAATGTTAACGATATTAACATTGAATCTATCAACAAATATTGTACAAGCAGTATTTTATCGTCGATGGTATTCACCATATTATTTTGGTTATCCATGGTGGATTCGTTATGGTGGATATGGATGGGGTGGTGGTGGTATTGGTTCGTATGGTTATCCATTCTGGGGTCGAGGTTTATACGGTTAAACCAAAAACAAAACGCACATAGAAACGCAGTGTAATTTATTGCTTCAATCAATTATCAATGCCTCATTCATTCATATTTAATAATTTATAATCATTTTTGGAAAAAATCAATTTCTTTTTTTTTTTGTTGTCAGAATAAAGTTGGTTGTTATTATTGTGGCTGTTATTGTTCAAATTGTTGTTCGCTGCGTGGCATATTGATAATAACCGTAAGCAATGGAATTTCTTCTTTTACATGCGATATATAGATCTTTTCAAAAAGAGAAAAAAGAGAGAAACCAAATAGTTAATCATTTAGTTATCAATAATCATTTTGAATTAATCAAAAAAAAAAAATTACCTTGATCGAATCAGATACGTTTAGCTGATTGATACAAGTCACTTGATTATTATAACGATAGATTAGATTAGGTAATAAACATGAAATACGTATTACATTCAATGCGAGACGATAAATATTTGAATCATAATCAAAAACCATTAATAAATCGGTAAGAAAATCATTATTATCAGCATTGTTATTCTGTAATTCCAATTGAATCTGAAATACTGGACCTAATCCAATCACTTTGGCCGATAATTTGATTGAATCAAAACGTTTTAATGAAATTGGATTCAGATTCGATTTGAAAGCTTTTGCATATGTTTTGTATGCAGATAATTTTAAACGAACCAATTCTTGTTCAAATGTTTTATGAATGGCTACCAAACAACAAAAAAAATCACAAAACCGTTAACATTTGGAAAAAAATATACTCACTAAGGCCGTGGTCCCACTTGTATGAACTAATAAACAAACAAAACTCCTTGTTCGTGGATATGGCGACCAGAGTGGTCCCATTATGATAAACTTGTTCGATTTGGGAACTTAGCTTTATTTAATTTAAAAAAATAATTTATTTGATATTTAATAATATTTTTTTAATATTGAAATTTCAACGTTAAAATTTTTCAAAATGAACGAAAAAATATCTTTTCTTGTCGAAAATGCGGATAAATTAGACTTAGATCAATTAATTTTATTAATAAATCTAATAAAAAGACGACCGATGTCGAGGAGGTTTTGGGTACAACCCATGTTCGTAGCAAGGTCGGAGGGAGAATTCCGGACATTATATCCGATCTTGAGGGCTAATTCGGATGTAGCAAGGGAAAGATTTTCTGACTGTTTAAGGATGAAATCGAGTACCTTCGACTACATATTGGAAGGTATTTACAGCCGATTGTATAATGAATCATCAAGTTTCAGAGAAAGTTTTAGTCCCGAGGAGATGTTATACACTACACTGCGCTATTTATCACATGGGTCGAGCTATCGCTCGTTGGAGTTCAACTTACGACTGTCTCACCAGTCGATCAGCCGGATAGTGGAGGAAACTTGCCAAGCTATATGGGAGGTATATGGGAAAACCCACATGACTGTCCCAAATGAGGCCGATTATGAGAGAATCGCGTCATCATTTTTAAATCTCTGGAATATGCCCAATTGCTGCGGAGCAATTGATGGCAAGCATATTCGGATTCGGAGCCCGGCTCAATCTGGCAGTAGTTATTATAATTACAAGGGATACTTCTCTATAGTGTTGCAAGGTAATATCCATTAAGCTGTTTATCCAAGTTAAGTGGTTTTATCATCTACTAGGCATTGCAGATGCATACCATCGCTTTATCATGGTGAGTGTTGGATCGTGTGGTAGATCAGCCGACAGCGGAATTTTTACTCATTCGGCATTAGGTCAAAGCTTGAGGAACGGTAGTCATAATTTGCCGAGACAAATTCAACGGCTACCTAATTCCGATAAAGAAAGCCCATTCTTTTTCATAGGCGATAACGCCTATCCACTAGAGACGTGGATGATGGTGCCGTTCTGCGAGCGGTCCAGTCGCCACTCCGATCAAATCGAGTGTTCAAAACGAGAGGTAATTTGATGAAAATCCCTGCTGTATCATTCTTAATACGATAAACATTTTATAGGTATTCAACTACAGACTAAGCCGTGCACGTAGGGTAGTTGAATGTGCCTTTGGCATAATGGTGGCGAAATTTCGCTGTCTGAATGCACCATTGGCCATGAACACCAATTCCGTGGACAAAATTGTATTGGCTTGTTGCCTTTTGCATAATATAATCATTAATAGGGAAGGTACAAGGTATTCGAATTCAGAATTGGATACAATTGCAGCTGATTTTCGATCACAAATGCATTTGCCGCCGGATTTTTCTAGAAATCCCTGTAATCAAGCAAAATATTTTCGAGAGCAACTGGTAAATTATTTCTGGGATGAGGGGCGAATTTCGTTTCAGCCATCATCATCAGCAGCATCAAATTCAATCTCAACTTTCAATTGATCATCATCAATTTTAGCATTTTATTTAAATTAAAATTTTTCAATTTCTATTTTTTTTCGTCTATTGGTTCTTTCAATTATACTTTGACATAATTCCATCTTTATTTCGTCCAGTTCATCATTGGAGAATGTTTCCCAAGTATCTTCAAATGATTCGACTAACTTAACCATTTGTTGACATTTTCGTGAATTAATTTTATCAATTACTTGATTTGTTAATTTTGAAATCATCTCATCATTATTATTAATTTTTCTTTTATTGGATTTCGTTTTGGGAGTCAAAAAGGATGGTCGATCACATAGATCCGACTGTGATGATGATTGCTGGTAATTTGACTGTGATGATGATGATTGCTCGTAATTTGGCTGTGATGATGATGATTGCTCGTAATTTGGCTGTGATGAAAATGATTGCCCGTAATTTGGCTGTGATGATGTTGCTTGTGCATAATGCCATCGCGATGATGCTGTTTGTTCATAATTTGACTGTGATGATTGCTTAGTAGTTGTAGGAATCATTAATAACTCATCGGACAAGGATGATGGTGATGGTGATCTTGGTTCTATAGATGGAGTTGTGTCGTCTATCCGCTCAATTGTTGTTGTCAATTGAGATTCCATTGACCCAACGGTTTTCCTAGTTGGTAAATTCATTTAAAGATTGCTCATATATATTTTTATAGGTATATGCTTGCCTGTCATTGTAGTTTTTTCGTAAAAATTCCATAGCCGAAAAAAATCTCCACCGTACCTCAGTGTCTCCACCAGAACCACTGGGTACGGAGTTGTGGTTCTTAATTATCCTGCGATATATAGTCATCAGCGAGGTCCAGGTCGCTTTTATTGATGAGACTGTATTGGGGTCGGACCGTTGGGTCACCTCTCGGGCGACCTCAACCCATTCCCCATGCTTATTTCGTTTATGGTAGTTATTTTTACAAAAATCCCACAGAATAGGTCGCTTCCTCACCGCCGATATTAATAGTTCTTTGTCTATATTATTATTCATTTTCACGAAAAAAACAAAAACAAAACAATAGAAAAAACTCAGAATTTCAGAACCTTTTATTTGAAATCACTGATTCACGAATTTGCTAATTCAAATTAAATTCAAAAAAATACGAATTAATCAAGCCAATTTATACGATGAAACAACTAGTCTAGTATAAAGTCGAAAAGTCAGCGGACAAATTTGTTTGCCGGATCATGCATGCATGATCCGTCGAACTCGCCAGTTTAGCAAATTGCAAACATGGTTGTAGAACTTGCCGTTTTCTACTTCCACAGTGCATTTCATGTTTAGTCTGTTTATTAGTTTATACAAGTGGGACCACGGCCTAAGATATTGTTCTCGTTCACGCATTGTTTGATCGACAAACAATTTTGTTTTTTTCGGTATAACCAATTTGGCTGTTGAATTATTACCAATGCTTAGCGAAGAACCAACTGTTCTGTCCAAATCATATGATTGTTCAATGCTCAATTGAAATTGAGCTGTTCGTTTAAGAATTTTAACAATAAGCGATCCATTTGCAGTGACCATAACCAATGTATTATCTTCACGTCCAAATCGACCATATTTCATTGCGACAACTACATCATCCAGATAAAGCGTGTCCACACATTTACGATCCTATGCATTACAAGGAATCATTAACGGATATCATCACATCATAGCCGAACTTACATTATAAAATACAACAGTTTTGTTGGTCAAAGCAACGGCTACCAAATTTAATGCTTGTCGTTCAAGTGTAATTTCTTCCATTGTGGTAATATTTGCTGATTGTTTCATGTTCCAAGTACGATTACCTTTGTTCGTATAGATACTCAGCGTTTGATCCATAGCTGCAACATAAATATTGGTACCAATTCTAGCCAAACCAACTGGTTGCGAATTCAACTGGATACAAAGACGACCACTATCGTAACCACGTTTGATTAGATAGATATGTGCATCACGACAAGCAAACAATATTCGATATTCTACATCAAATAAACCACTAGCCTGAATAAATACCGGAATACTTGCCAATGTAGCCGTACTAAGCATTGTAAATGCTTCCACTTCAAGAATATAAACATTTTGACTTTCGGTTCCTATGATCAAACAGGAAGGAGCATTTGTTTCGGCTACCGTTTTTTTCAACAAAGCCATACAAGTTACAACATTTAGTTTACGTAATTCTTGATTTTTATAATGTTCGGCCATACTGTTTTTCATTTCTGATGTGGATGTATTGAGCAACATCAATGTCCTGTTATTCATAAATAACGATATCAAAAAAAAACAGAAATGTTCAACAAATAATGAATAATTACCTGGAAGTAAGTTGACGTGGACCAATTTCCAGACTAAGATTTTGTAGAGTTTCTTCCAATGTTATCAAATCAATCTTACCTTCTTTGTATTGAGTCCATGCATTCAATTCGATTGAATTAGTTTCAAGCGGTGGCAATGAAAATTTGTAAAATGGTTTCATGTTACGATAAACATAGAGATAGGAACTGGAAGCCACGATTACCGAAGCAGTCAATTCGGGTTTATCATTATGAACGACCACAACACCGCACGGTAAATCAACCAAAAGATTTTCCGATTGTAAAAATGTTCCATGATATACTTTCAATTTGGCCGATGTTTTTGTTTGAAAAAGACCAAGATCACCAATCAACAATCGATAATCACCATCATGATGAAGATCGGCTAAAGTCATATTAGCCGAAACGGTCGATATATGAGCCTGGTCATCATGATTGGCCAACAACCATTTTTCTGTTTTCGGTTCGCTATCCGATGTCTTAAGAATCGATTTTTGGCTTCCAGTAACTTTCTTTCTTGGTTCATCGCTTGTGGATTGTTGCCGCCTGCAATATCAAACATCAAACATCAAGCATCAAGCATCAACAAAAGATGAATCTTTCCATCCAAAATTACCTCATAGTTGATTCTTCCATCTGAACTGAAGAATTTTGTTTTGTATATTTATCATTCACACAAGATGGCTGTTCCTATGGCAACCTGGCCTAGCTCGAATTTGTAAACAACAACAAACAACAAACAAAACACATATAGCCATAACAAACAAACATTTTTTTTTGCGAATCAATCGGAAATGCAATAATATTGCACTAATGCAATATAAAATACTATTATCATCATCGAGAGGGAAAAAAATTTAATTTTTTAACAGTTTACCGAGAAAAAATTTCACACACTAATCAAACAAATCATTCGATATTTAATTTAATTAAATTGTTGATGATGATAATAATGGTCAATAGATGGACCCTATCATTTTTATTTTTTTTTGTTGTTGGACAAAAATGGAAAATGTAAAAAATCCAATCATCAATTGGTTATTCAATCAATCAATAGTCGAAGGACATTCGAAATGGCCAACCATTGGCCAAAAGAAAAAAAACAAGTTTGTTTGTCTGTTTATTTGATTGTTTGTTTGTTTGTTTGTGTACAAATCACACAATTAAATTCACGGTACGTCATTCGACCAACGATTGACAATAATAATGATGATAAGCAATCAATTGTCATATATTGTGGCAATACACACCATCATCATCATCATTGATTTTCCTTGTTGTTCATCAAAAAAATCCAAAAAAGAATATTTTTTTTTTGTCATTGTCATTGTCAGGGAAAAAAATGATTCTTTTCGTTCAATCATTTTTACCATAACCATATAATTGATATTTTGAAGCCATGTTTTTTTTAAAGCCAATAATCACGTATTTGGAGTTTGTTTTTTTTTCTAAAGAAAAAAAAATGCGAACAATGGTCACAGTCCAACGATCATTATGTTTGTGACACCAAAAAAAAAAGGGTCGACAAACCGGAAAAATTTTTTTTTCGTTATCGTTATCGACTCGAAACACACAAACGAAAACGAAAACAAAGCAAAAAAAGAAAGCGAATAAATGAGAGTAAAAGTGACAATTATTCAGAGTCACATTGAAAATTGTCGTAAAAGTGTGCCACCAATCAACAAGAGACCAGCCAATTTCCGGCTATGAACACATAAACAAGCACAATACTGTTATAGACAAACTTTTTTTTTCTTTATCAATTGCGAAACGCTTGTTTCTTATTCAACAAAAAAAAAATTATCAGTAAGAATGTATGTATGTATGTATGTTACCTTGACTGAAACGTCAATCAAATGCCACCGGTCTTGTCCAGTGTGTGTGTGTGTGTATATATTTCTTTAACTTTCACTATCATCATGGTCACGAGACTTTATTGACTATTGATATTGGCCATAGGCAATAAATCAAACATCATACATACAGTACAGTGTTTAGATAAATGTTATTAATTAAACAATAAAAAAATTGTTTGATGCTAAACAGGTAAACATTTACCAAATTGCGCTATTGTCGCACCTCTCTCTCTCTCTTTCTCTCTTTTTACACTTTCTCCATTTTGTTCATCTGCAGATTGATTTCACAAAAAAAAAATTTCACATGATACACACAAGTATAGTTGACAAATATCATCGATCATTGACCAACCAAACGGTAGGCATCAATAAATTCAATCAATTGATTTGATTTGATTGATTGATTATAGTATAGTACATTCCATACAAACAAAAACTATTCTTTTAACTAATCATCATTCTTGTCATCAAACATAATTCAATTTCCTGGTGAGTTCATTCGAAACTGTTATGCAAATCAGATGAACGAGTGGTAAATCAATCATCATCCGTTAGCAATAAGCTATCGCATATCCTCATATAGTACATGATACTCCTATCAGTGACCACAACTACCACCACCATCTTGATTCTCATTGATCATCCTGTTTGACAGGCTATCAAACAGGGATAATGTTTTCGCCTAAATATTACAATCGTTACTTGGACGATCATTTCGATCGACAGTACTATTCGGCGAGGCTCAAACTTAAAAAATTCGATACTGACGAATTTCAATCAATGATCATCGCCAATCAACAGCATTTGCTTGCCTTTGCCGGACCACAGGCACCGGAACCACGTCCACCATGTATCGAGACCAGAAATCTTTCGTTTCATTATAAGGCAAGCCAGCCGGTTCTTAAAAACATTTCGATCAATGTACCGCAAGGCCGAATCTATGCATTACTCGGTTCGAGTGGATGCGGAAAAACTACCTTATTGCGAATGATTCTAGGCATGCTCAAACCGAAAACCGGCACAATTCGAGTATTTGGAATGCAACCTGGAACGGCTGAAATCAAAATACCTGGTTCTGGTGTTGGTTACATGCCACAAGATTTGGCTTTATTCCGTTTGTTCAGTATTGCAGAAACATTCGAATACTATGGCCGTCTATATGGAATTCCAATGGAAACAATCAAAGAACGAACCAAATATTACATCGAATTTCTCAATTTGCCGGGTAAAAATCGTCTCATCACTCAACTCAGTGGTGGCCAACAGCGTCGTGTTTCGTTGGCCGTAACTCTCATGCATGAACCTCCTTTGCTCATTCTGGACGAACCGACCGTAGGCGTCGATTCAGTACTTCGACTTAAAATTTGGAACTATCTCGAAGAATTGTGTGGCAAACTCGGTAAGTGTCCTTTTTATACATTCATTCATTTATTTAATCCGGTTCAATTTTTTCAGGCACCACTGTGATAATCACCACACATTACACTGAAGAGGCTCGCAATTCATACAGGGTAAGGACGATCACTTTATTATTACTTCACTCGATTCATTCATGCATTAATCATATTTACAGGTTGGCTTTGTAGATTCGGGAATCATTCTGGCCGAAGACAATCCACAACGTCTTCTATTCAAATACAATTGCCGTTCATTGGAGGATGTCTTTCTTGAACTTTGTCTGGAACGAGCACGATTGCCCGAAATCAGTGTCCATAATGGTAACAATCAATCAACACAGGTCAACACTGGCAATCAACAACACACAATACCACAAGTTCAGATCATTGTCGAAGAAAGTGATGGAAATCGTCAAGAATCCAGCAGTAGTAGCAGCAGCAGTAGTGACAGATCAATCGAACAAATCGAGATGAGTCAGATTCCCAAAGATTTAAACAATAACGACAACAACAACAACAATATGGTTCCGGCTACATTACCTATACCGCCTATTCATCCAAATGCACCACAAAGCCAAATGGATAATAAGAATTCAACAGGAAAGGGTACTTCTCAAGCGTGGCTAGATTATGGCCGTTTTACTGCATTGTTAGCCAAAAATTATCTACTTTATCGACGAAATCCCGTATCAATCATTTTGATGAATGTTATTCCATTGGTTCAGGTTACTTTGTTTTGCGTTACGTTTGCCCGTAATCCGGAAAATATTCCAGTGGCCATTGTCAATTTTGAAAATCACTCCCTATCTCTATCTAACGTAAGTGTTTGATTTGATTTGTTCACCACTGATTGTTTGTTATGTTTGTTCATAGTTGTTCATCGATCAATTGGACCAGAAATCATTGTTGCTTCATTACTACGACAACGTTGATAATGCTATTGGATCGGTGCAAAATCTTCAAACGTACAATGTCATAACGTTTCCCAGCAATTTCTCTCGATTTTTTCGCCAACGATTTCTCAAACCAGAACAGATTACCGATGAGATTGTACGACAAAGTACTATCAGTCTTTTTCCTGACACCACTCAAGCTGTATTTTATCTGTACACATACCAAAAGGTACTCGAAGCATTAGAAAAGTTTTTGGTTATTGTCGGCAAAAGCATGGGCTTCAATCCGAACTTTTTCGGCTCACCAGTCGTCCTCACCGAAACTATGTATGGCCAAAACAATCTTCAATATTTGGAATTCGTGACGCCAGGCATGATCATAGCCGTCGTTCATGGTCTTTCAATGTTGATCGGTTCGTTTACAATCATCAGAGAACGATTTGATGGCCACCTAGAGCGTGGTTTCGTTGCCGGCATTCGAACCACAGAAATTCTTTTATCGCATATCATCTTTTATTTGGTGCCACTATTCACTCAGGTAGTGCTCGTTCTTTTTCTCACTTTCTACATATTCGACAGCCAATCAAAAGGATCATTATGGGAAGTGTTTCTTATGACTTTCATAATGGCATTCCAAGGTTTGATATTCGGCATAGCAATGTCGATTACATGCCAATCGCAAGTTGCATCGCTTGTAAGTAATCATCATCATTATTTTTAAAATATTTTCAATCAATACTAATCAATCAATCATCATCTTTTCATTTTCATTCAGCTAATGGTATTTATTTCGGAAATGCCAATGATATTTACGTCGGGCGTCCTGTGGCCATTGGAAAGTGTACCTCCTTTGGTGCAAACATTGGCCATGTTCAATCCGTTAACATTACCAATACGTTCATTGCATTATATAATGCTTCGTGGTTGGACTTTAATGCGTCCTGAAGTTATGTTTGGAATGATATCCGCCTTGTCCTATATGTTCATTACACTCATATCGGGCTTTGTCTGGTTTGAATTGTTCAAATAAACAAACACATTATGTTATGTATAATTACACATTATACACTGCACACTACACACACACACATTATAAACACAAAGTTTGTTTGCCAAATGTAGCGAAAACAATAAAATAATCGATTCATTTATTGAAGATACGGGCCCCATATATCTATTTTTTTCTCTCTCTCTCATTCTCTCTATGTAATCACAATCAGGCTATAAATAGAATGGCATAAACGCCCGTAGTAATCTAAAGAAAGCCAAAGAAATGATAAACCTCTACTTGGTCATTTTGATCGTGTTAATGGCGGTGTTGGCACGTATCGACGTCATTCAAACACATTATTCAAAAAGATTATTCGATCTAAATCCCGATATATTTCGTACTACGGTTTGTGTTTCCTATTTTTGTTTTCTTCTCTGTTCACTTTGATCAATATTTGATTGATATATATGTTGTACAGCCAGAATTGATTATATCACGAGGTTTCGTACCCGAACAACATCTGGTTACCACCGATGACGGATATATTCTTGTTGTGTTTCGCATTATAAATCCTTACATTAAACACGTTAAGCGTCCGATCATTCTGTGGCACGGATTGGGTGTTTCGTCTGATTCGTGGCTTTATTCTACCGAAGGTCGTATCAATGGTAGTGGAATCTATGTGGAAAATAATTTGCTGGTCAATGATTGTCATGAATCGGTAACCAATTCGCTAGGTTTTACTCTTGCCGCTTGCGGCTACGATGTTTGGCTGCCAAACAGTCGCAGTGGCCACTATTCAGTTGGACACATCAAACTTGATTCAAGCCGAGATCCTCTATACTGGAAGTTTAGTTTAACCGAACTGGCATTGTATGATATTCTGGCGGTCGTTGAATTCGTGTTGCGCACTACTGGCCACAGTAAATGATTGATTGTCATATGGCTTTTACTGACAGTCGTTTTTCTTTAGAATCGTTGGGGTATATTGGCCATTCGCTTGGTACGGATCAAATGTTTGCATTACAATCACTGATACCCGAATCAGGTAGACTATTCGAACCATTCATAGCGTTAGCGCCAGTTGCTTATTTGGGCGGTATTTGGAGTATTGCCAGATTCGGTGTTCCTCTCGAACCATTACTAAGGTTGGCCATAACAATCGTGCCATTTGATTTTTGTTTGATCATTTACAAACATTTACAGGGCATTTCCAGGTCCAATAGGTGTTCCGGCACCAATTATGCAGTTGATAGCCGTTGTAATTTGCGGCAACGAATATCTTAATGATATCTGTCTTGATACACTTAATCTGATCGACGGAGCGGATAATCCTAATTTCAATCGGGTAAGAATTATCATCATCGAATGTCCATTAATTCAATCAATCAATCAATTCATTGAACAACCATGTAGTCTACGGTAACGGTAGAAGTAGGACATTCGGCAGTTACATCTTCCACTTGGTTATTGGCTCATTTAGCACAGCAAGTCAAATCGAATCGTTATCAGATGATGAATCATGGCATTGTAGAAAATATACTTCGTTATGGTCAAAATGATCCACCTACATATCCATTGGGTGATATCAGTTCTCCACACATTGCATTATTCCGTGGCCAAAATGATGCGTTGGCCGATGTTTACGATGTAGAACATCTGGTTCGTAGTCTTAAAGGTTAGTAGGTTATTTTTGTTTCAATATTAGTTAATCTCAATATATGAATGATATTATGAATTTACAACAGTAAAATTATTGGACAACTACATTGTACCATATGATAAATGGGAACATCATGATTTTCAGGTTGCCATTACACAAGGATTTTACGTCAATCGCCGTATACTTGGGTTGTTGGCCCAATTCGATCATGCCTGATCAAGCTTTCACTCTCATTCTCTCTATCTTTCGCTCTCTACATTAATGATCCAAATAAATAAACATTTTTTATATCTAACTTTGAGTAAATGAGTCAGTTTTTTGTAAATGACTATTTTATTATTATTAATAATTTATTTTATTTAATTTACTAAATAATCAATATACCCGCCCACACTAATCTGTAATTTTTTCTTTTCCTATTTACATTCAAAACAAACAAACAACAACATAACAAACAGGTAAATAACATATTCTGTTAACCTGATTGACAAATGAGCGCCAATGTCAACCACTCTCAGAATCGAGTCAGTCACTATTTTTTTTTTTTTTTTTTTTGGTTCCGGGGCAGCAAGGGGAATGCCAAACTAAAAAAAACTATAAAAAAAATACACAAAATTTTTTA